ACATTTGAAATGAGGCAGAACTAGAAAAAAGARTATCAAGCACATACCTTGCTCAGCAGGCATTCACTCTGTTTTGGCTACCGCAAGAGTTGCATCAAGGGAAGCCTCTTGAAAAGCAGTTTCCAGTGAAGGACTTCTCTGAACTCGCTGCAGGCTGTTTGCTGAGCTGGTGCTGACCTCTCAGCCAAGCTCTTAGCTCATCCTCCACCAGGAATCATCAGGACTCTCCCCAGCAGCAAGGAGCCCTCCTACCACCCCTAGCAAGGGAGTGGGGAACAAACAGAGAACAGCAGCCCCCAGCTGAGCTTAAATACAGCCCCATGGAAGGGCAGGGTGGGTGGGGGCCCAGGTGGGCCTGATCAGGGTCAATTAAGGYCTGTTAGCACCCCACAAGGATCTGGCAATTTGTTTATTTGTGTAGCCTTTTGTAAGGGGTGCAAAAAGGGAGGTGGGAGGRGTTGTCTTGTGATAGGTATCGTTGACAATTCTCTTGTTATTCAAGTAAKTTATGTCATGCAAAGACCAATTTTCCCGTCTTTCTTCATTGCTTCCTATGATGAGAACGCTGTTCTTTTGCAGTCCTCAAAACCAGGAAGTTTCATTAAAGATGATCTGGTAACTCAAACTTGTTTTTCTTTGAAAGCTAATGAAATCCACCCCTTCTCCCCCCCTTTTTTTCTTTCTGCTAGCTAGTCACTGAGGGATAAGTGCAGGTTTGTAGCAGGAGATTAGTTATCTGTTAGTTTTGAATGGGGTCATCAACTTTATTCAGGTTGCAATTTTTTTTGCATTTTGAGTTGAATACAGTACTCTGTACTGGAGTCTTCTCAGCTAGGTGTGTGGTGTGTGTAGTTGCTGTTTCATCATCCTAAGGCTGGAGGTGTTTCCCACCAATTAATTTTACACAACTGATACCTGCATCTCAAGGGCCTTGGGGCTATCGTAGGTGGTGCACACGGATCTGTTGAACTTCGTTCAGGGCACGACAAGTTACTGGAAGAGTCCTGTCTTCTTACAGCCTGTGTCTGGGTGTAGTCGTTGTCCTTAGCACTGTGTTCTCCCTCCACTCTCATGAGCGACTAACGCRTTGCGGAGCTCTGAGGCACCTTGCTATGGAGGTCTCTGCAAAAGTAAACAGCATTTTTGCTATTTTATGCTGTCARTCTGTAAACTTCTTAAAAAAATGTATTATTTGAAGCTGTCAGTGTGCATGGCTCTGGAAGTGTGCGTCTCTGACGACATAAGGAAATGCCACGTTGGGCTGGCATTGAGCTCAGGCTTGTAGATGCACTCTGATACGTGGGAGAAAAAGCTGCAGAACTGCTGAAACTCTGCAGAACTGCTGCTGCTTGATGACACCGTGTGCTCCAGACTACCACTCCGTAGATCTGCTAGATCTTAATCTTTTAGTGAAACGCCAGTTCTGTTGCCACAATTGTACTTGCAAACTTGCTCTATGGCTAGGGCTTCTTCTCAGCATTATCAGTTAGAGTCCATATGAATAACCTAGGCCTGTTTTATGAAAACCTRTCAGTGGTTCACCTCGGGTAAAGCATGAGGCATAGCAGTCCCGTGATGTGTCTGTACATTAGGTTGCCTCCTTGTGCTGTGAGGATGCCAGGACCCTGGCACCGGCACAAGGCAGCGCTTAGCTGGATTTTAGCTGCATTTTTGTTCTCTGCATGGTAAGAGTTCATAGTTTTGGGACCATACCACCCGGTCCCTCCTGCCAACAGGTCACAATGCAGACACTTGAGAAGTAATTGGGATCACCGCAAACCTTAAGCAATGTGGAAGGATTTTGATAACTATGACTTTAAATCCCTCCAGCTACATCCAGAACTTCAGTAAACAATGTGAATGGAAACACAGTCAGGAGACCTACATTTGTTCCCTAAAGACTGTTTTTTCACAGCAGCAGATAGTTAAATGCAGATACACATGAGTTAATCCAGAAAGTAGTACACAAATTATTCACAGGGGGGAACTTAACTCCAGAACCAAACAATCAAACTCCTGGAGCAGCTACTTACACTGCAGTAATACCAGAAACCTAACCTGGGGCTGAGAGCCCGTCGTGAGTGCAATTCCTGCTCCAGGAAACTATTTTCTAGTCAAAGCACACAAATGGTGTAAAATGAATTGATGAAATTGAAAACAAAAGCAAAACAAATACTAATACCAGGCTTTTATGAACTGCTTATCATCAGTAGGTCTGATGCTGGCTGATCAAACGTTTTCACACAGCCTTAGTGTATTCTAATATTCTGATATTCGATCAGTCCCTGTGAGGAGATACCCTTGGTTTCCATACGGGGAGCTATATGGGCACCAATACTGTGTGTGAGGCAAGAAGAGAGCCAAGGTCTCGCTGCTCCTGCACTGCTTATTGCTCCCTGGAGAACGTCCTGCTGCGGCCTCGCTCCTGGGAAGGCACCAGGACATGGAGGTATCATGGGAGAAACAAGATCTGTAGAGGGATGTGAAGTGCAGGAGTTTTATGATTTTTGAAGTTATTTCATATACCTAACAGAAAAAGCATAAGCGTGTATGAGAAAGGAATGAATGCATAGATCAACAAGAATGCGGAAAATATCATGAAAGTATTAATAGTCACACAGACATCAGTATTTCACTTCCATATGGCTGATGGGCTCCATCAAACTGCACAAACTAATCCTGAAGATGGGTCCCATGGTATGATGGAGTAGGTGCGGAGTATTCTACCTCCCTGAGAAAAAGTTGGAATTACCCCGAGCAGGTCACCTTGCCCGGAGCAGAATTGTTTATATTGACTTCATTCCTCACAGACGTCATATTGTCTGTTCTTAAAGCTGTCTTACGAAGGCACAGCTTAGGTAATCTACTTAGGTGACCTACAACAGCGTTTCATTTTCACTGCCATTAGGCAGCTTTCCTAACACTAGCGCTGTGTCTTGCAGTTCCAGCTCCCTGCTCCTCATGAATGAACCAGAAGCACGCAGGGCAGATTGATAGCTCCTGTTCCATTCATTACACTCTTTTATGTATTTGAAGACTTATCAGATCCCTCTTCGTTTTTTCTTTTTTAGGCTAAAGAGACTCAGTTTGTACAACCTCTTCTTCATCCTCTGGTGGTGAAAAGAAAACTCTATTCTCTTCTTATTCTTTCTGTTCTCCTTTAAATACTTTGCAAGTCTCACTTCTTTCCTGAGATGGAAACTCAAGGCTGATGATAGCACTCCAGGAGTAGCTAAGACCTTATTAATAACACAGCTCCGAATTCCTTGTAGCAGGCACCACTTGAAGTTGGTGCCACCTCCGTATCTCCCCCTAAATGTCGCTTCTTTTCCCTTTTGGTGACATATGTAGGATGACCCTTGCCATGACCTAGAGGGTGCTAGTGCTGGGGATGACAGAGGACGGCGCGGCGCTTCCACGCAGTGAGGCTGATGCAGGGGTGGACAAGCTGTGTGGATTGCCCACCAGCTGGGACAAGGAGGGCTCTGCTCCTGTGGGTCACAGCCCTGTCCATGGGCGACCCTAGGGAAGGGTCTGGGACCAGATCAGTCCACGGATAACAAACAATGTGGGTGGACTAGTTAAACAACGTTTATTTTGTGGTTTAGTCTGCATATGTATGTGTTTTGCAGCCTGGTACCCTCTGATCTATTTAAGCACTCTTCAGATTCCTTCAGGGGCCTGGAAGRAGAGGGGAATCTGTCCTAACAAAGCCATGATAATTTCAAACATTACTTTCAAATAAAACTCATTTTGAAAGTGAGTTGGATTTATAGGAGACTGGGTAACCAGGAGTTGGGAGCCTCTTTTGACAATATATGGTTTTTGTGTTACACAGTTAAAGGTAGGTGGCTAAGCAGTCCTTCCATCCATCACCCAAGGCCCTGCTTTGGGACTCTGCTGTTTGCTTCTTGCCAGCTGCAATGATAAGATCTGTAATAACTCCTGTAGGATTATTTGTACCTGACCAACCTATTTCTTAAGTATCCCACATATGCTAATGCCATTAATTAGCATTTCATAACTCGCTTGTGCAATCCCCCGCCTTCACAGCATCTCTGTATTCCCTCAGAGCCGTTCAGAGGTCTGATACTGGTAATTACGGGAAGATCTTCAATAATCCCCCTTTCCACGGGATGACGGAGGCTGGAAGGGGCCTCTGGAGGTGACGCAGTCCCAGGTGCATGGGGTCACATTCCGGGGGTTTGGAAGGTCTCCAGAGAGGGAGACCCCACAGCCCCTGCGGGCAGCTGTGCCAGGGCTCTGTCACCCTCACAGCCAAGGGGATTTTCCTCAAATTCAGGCCTAACTTCCTGTGCTTCAGTTGGTGACCATTGCCTCTTCTCCTGTTGCTACTCACCACTGAAACAAGTGTCCCCATCCTGACACCTTCCCTTTTGGTATTCATTACACACACTGATAGGATTCCCTCTTAGCCTGCTCTTCTTAGGCTGAATAGGCCCAGCTCTCTCAGCCTCCCATCCCTTTTCACCCCTCTTTCTTCATGCCCCAGCTAACTGACTTGGAAGGCAACCCCTATTTCTGAGTGCGGATGCAGGCTGAGGCCACAAGGCTTTGGAAATGTGGCTGCTCCTTCACAGGAGCTTCCCAGCTACCCCCTGGAGAAAGGAGAAGGCGCCGCGACACTTGAGCCGTCAAACCCGCTCCCCCTGGGACAGGAGCAGAGCAGCGCCATGGCCATGGCCACGGCAGCTGCACCCGCCCCCCACCCGCGCCGCCATCGCCCCCTGCGCGCTTGACACGCGATTTGGGGGGGGGGGTCGGGGGGGGCCTGGGCCTGTGGCGGAGGCGGGGCCCGGAGTCCGGGGGCGGGGTCTATTCAGGGGGCGGGGCCTGACCCGGAGGGCGGGGCCGGCCCCGTGGCGCGCGCGGGCGGCAGTGCATGCCGGGAGAGCCTATATGAGCGGGCGCCGAGGCCGCGCCTTCCGCTCCGCCGACCTTTCACCCGGCAGCGCTCGGCGGCACAACACGGAAGTGCGATGGCGGCCGCGGCGGAGGAGGCCGCGGGCAGCGGCCGGGGCGCCCCGTGCTCCGCGCGCCGCCGCCTCGACGTCATCTCCGGCCACCTGCGCGGCCCGGCCTGGGCCCCGGCGCCCGCGCCCAGCCCCTGCAGCGCGCAGGGCCCGCCCGCCGCCTCCATCCCCAAGAAGCGGTAGGTGCGGGCGGCGCCGCCGCGGCCGCCGGCCCGGCTGGGAGGGGCGGCTCTCAAAGGCGCCGCGCGGGGCGCGCGGAGGGCGAGGCCCGAGCGGGGCCTCGTGCGGGGCCGCCCGGGCGCCTCCGAGCGCGAGCGCTGCCCCGGGGAGCGGCCGCCCGCCCAGCCTGGGCGCGCTCGGCACTCCCGGCCTGTCCGTGCTTTGCCMTCTGCCTTACAGCGTTTAGTGAAGAGACTCGTTCTGGGGGATAAAGTCTTGTCAGCTCTCTGAAAAAGCTTTCATTGCTTTCTGAGTCTTTCTTTGCCACGTTCTTTCAGATGCTGCCGTTGTAATGCCACAGTGTAGCATCATGSAACTCACAGGCGTATCCTGTTGGGAAGGCCGACCTTGGTGTTATCCATTTTGCAATCTCCCCTCTCCCAGCTGTGGGTTTCCTGTGGCTYTGTTGGCCCCTTGCTGTGCAGGGGTGTCTCAAGGCTCTGTCTATAGACAACCGAACCGCTGCCTGCTGAGCAGCMTGTGAACAGCCCCGTAGCTCCTCTTGGTGTGCAGAGGTGGCCTCGAGGCAGCGGGTGACAGAGAGCGGTTCCTCCTTTGAGGAAAATCCATCCAGCCTGTGTTTTACTTGGAGCTTTTTTGTGGATGAGTTCAAGCCCCTGAGGGGTCTCTATGGGAGCAGCTCGTGGTGGTGGTGGGGGGGGACGTGTTTTTACGGGCTCTGCTTTCTAGGGCCTGCACTGGGAGGGCATCCGTGTTACATCCCTGGAGTCAGATGTTAAGGACTCGAGGAGGCCGCAGCTTTCCTTGTGAGCAGGTTTAGTATTTGTGCAGGACGGACATCCTCATGTCAAATGATGGACTTTTTGCTATAGGACATGCTTTAACGCATGTGGTGTGCCTCTAAAATGGTATTTTTCAAGGTATTTTACCTGTGTCATTATAATGCCTCAGTGAGGATTTCCCAGTCTTTCCCAGGTTTCTGTGGATATTCCAGGATGGCTTTTAGTCCTTCTCCATCTTGGGTAGTAAGTTCAGCCAGGCCGCCGCTCGCTCAGACGGCTCCACTGCAGCCCCGATGCCGCTGCCCGGTGCGTCCCGTGTCCCTCGAGTCGGTCAAGCGGCTGCAGGTCAGCACGGCCGGGACCAGGCTCGGCCCCCGCTCCGCTCCCCACTCTTTAAGCTGCAGAATCATCCCCATGTCGCGCACTTCAAAACCTGGGCTTTGTCCTTGACCGCAGTCTCTACCTAAATCCTAATATCCCAGCTACTCATTAAGTCTCGTGTATTCTTTTTATGTAACTTACATCAGGTATTTCATCACACCTTGCGTGTTCAGAGGAAACCCCTACCGGACGGGGACACTTTCTTTTCGGTTTCCCTGTTCCCACATGTGTGAGAACTTGGATAGATCAGGGTAGTTGTACGTTGTGCCTGTTGCAGTAGTCAGTTCTCTAGAATAACAATATGTTATATTCCTATAGCAAAAAAAAAATGGTATGGGAGAACGCTGTTGCTGAACTGCAGCAGTACCGTGTTGAGCTCACAAAACCGGAGGCTGTGGGAAGTGCAGTCAAGAGGTAGGGCTGGAAGGTGATGGTTGAACTTACGCCTAGGGCGGTGAGTACAGAAGAGTGAAGTATGGAGGAAATGAGCTCGTTAAGTACAACACAACTGCTCTTTGAAGTGCAAACGGGAGTGAAAGGAGCTGTGGCGGTTTGGTAGCTAGTTGGTTAAGTGCCTCTTCCTGAAATAGGACTATTTGCATTATGTTCAGCATTTAACCTTTGCTGGTTACGCTGCTTTTTTAATTTCTGCTCTTCTGTGTTACAGCTCTGCAAGGTTTACAACCACCTATAAAACAAAGACACTCAAGTATTCTAAGCCTTGACATAGTTCTAAGTGTTTTTATGTCTTCAAACCGACTACAAAAAGGTTCTGAAGCTTCCTTAAAATTTTGAACTTGTCAAGTTTTTCTGCTTTTTTGAGCTGTATGGGTATTCACACCTATCTTTGCACCACACTGTACAATATACTTAGATTGAAGCACACTAGTTTAATAGGTACCAAATTTTACATCACTGTCAAATTAAATGCCTTTCAGTGCTTAGTAAGGCTTTCTTGTGTATTCTCAGTCACAGCCACAGAGGTATGCAGTACTAAGCTCACAGATGTTCTTTTCTCCCTATCAAGGCAACAACAAAAATTTTCAGGAGTTAAGTTCCTGAAATGCTTGGCTGGAAAAATCTTATAAGAATAATTGATCTCTAAGTAGTTATGGTGATCCTGTGAGGCTTTTGTAGGGCAACCTGCACCAACATGCCTTTTTTCCTGCAGACCATTCATTAAACCTGTACCTGGCAATTCAGCTTTTCCCCCTCTTTCTAAACTATTAGTTTAACTGTGCCTAGCAAAGCTGTAAGCAAAGATAACTGTTTTCATTGTCTTGCATCTTTCAGGAGTGTTTGAAATAAGCAAATCAGAACATGGCATGTGCAAGATTCAGTTCAGTCTGGTTTCCCACCTCAGTTTTTCAAAGGATAGTAATCTGTCAGAATTGAATTTATCAATAAGTTTAGTAGATAGCTTGTTGAATTTTTAATATCAGGTAAACCTAAGTAGATATATTCATTGGTTAAATTTTGCCAGACAAAATCCCTGTGCACTAATAAAAGTCTAAAGTATGTTTGATACGCAAAGCATGATGTGTTATATGAAAACAAGTAGCTGTTTACAGGAAGAGAATTTGATCGATGACCTTCATGATATTTACCAAGGTGTGAATTCTTCTGCACAAGAAATGAAGACTGCCTATTTATTTACAATTTATTTGAACAGAATAGGAAAATTTCTGTTAATACAATAGCCTAGAAGAATTGCTTTGACTTCCTGAAAGGGGCCTTGAACTGAGCTAAGACCATCTGTAGTTCAACACATAGCGGCCAACCAGGGTTCCCTGCAGTGCTGCTGTTACCYGATTGCATGGCCTGTGCTGGCCAAGCACGGTGCCTTATTAAATCCCTAAGTGGCTGTTGTGCTGCAGAATATGCTAAAGATTAACTGCACAGTAAATTAAGTAGTACTGTCCGGGAGTTGATGTTCTTTTACTTGAAAAAATAAATAGTGGATTCTTGTTCTGTTTATTAACTTGAGCTTTTGAAGATGGAAAAGTAGATCTCATTCATTTTGCTAGCTTAAAAAAAATGCTATGGCAGGACTGATCTCTGGATTCAAAAAATAAAAACTTGAATGACTTTATTACCTGAAAATAGTAAACACTTTCCTAGGGAACACTGCCACACTTCTGTAGTGTGGCAATATCTTCAAAGAGAAAAACAAAGCTGGCATGTTCTGAAGCAGAAGATGCAGTATTTATTGCTTCTTGGAATGTATTCCATCACATAGGAATTATCAATTAGCTAAGTGTGCTTATTTGGAAGCTTAGCAATACTGGTTTTCCTAGTATTGATTTTAGTATTTAATATTTAATTCGGTCATATTGACTGAAACTTTCTAGAAAAGAAACTGTTGTTCTTTAGGGCCTCATTTGTTCCATGTACCCTAGCAGGGTGTGTAAGGAGAGATAATGCTTTGCTATTGTAACAGCTGGAAATGAAGAGCACACTTTGCTTCAGAGTACCTGGTACATTAAAGTCTATTTTATGCCTTAACTTTTGTGATTGCATTTGCAGTTTAACTTAGTGCTTAGGTTTTAAATGTGAGCSTGGGTTCCTGTTGCTGTGTTTGCKCTTTGGCAGAGAATAGCAGCTGAGTTGGATGTACAGGCTATGGGAGCTGGAAGCACAGGCTAYGGGAGCTGAGTGTGTCCCAGGCTGTAAAACATTGCTTGGCTTCACAGACTTGAGAATCCTTTTGGTTGCTGCAGGGAAGATGCTCCAAGAGGACAGAAGTGTAGGAATGATGCGCAGATGCTCGCTGCCTACAGCACACCATTCTTCTCCAGAACAGTGATGCTTTCTCAAAGCAGCTTGTAAAGAGAATCCTGGGGCTACGTTCTCCATCCCAACTTCTAGGTACCCAATGACTAACTCGATGCTGACTTCAAAACCGCCTGAGTGGCTTCCCTTCCTGGCGGCTGATAAGAGTCACTGTGCAACTTAAATAGGGACTCTGCTGCAGATCGGGAGGGTGAGAGACCTTCCAGTGTCACTGACGGGCTGGCGTCTGAATTTCCAGTCTGTCTTCTGCATCAGCTCAGCCAAGCCGGGCTTTGAGGCATTGCTGTTTGGATGGTATCTTGCTGATGCAACTCCTTAGCACCGTAATACTGCCTGAACCTTACACGTACCTTGGATTTTGCAGGACCTTTTTGCATTGCTACCTTAGGTGGCAGCTGATGTTTTAGCCACTGTGGCCGCTCTTAGAGCTGCCGCTTTAAACCGGCCTCTGAGAATGTGCTGGGTGTTGGATGACAGAGCAGGAGTATCTGTGTATATGGATCGTTTCTATGTGTAGGTTTCAATGCTTGGCATCAGCTGCTGATGGAATTGAAAATAGTGGTGGGTGTGGTGAGGAAACCATAAACCAAAATGTAAACATTTTGGTTGTGATGCTTTGAGTTGCACTGATTCTGTTGTGCTGGATTGCCCCGTGCTTTCATCCTGTTCTAGGGAAATACTTGGAACTGAATTGTTTGGTCTTCTAGCAAATCAGCTCCAGTTTGCTTTGCTCTGGTGTGGTGTGCYGGCTCTCCAGGCGGTGCTGGAGAAGAGGCAGAACTTGTGTAGCTGTTCGATGCACATCTGTGTGTCTTGGATGGAAACTCTGCTCTTGCCATTTGGTCTGCACTGCCTTCCYGGAGAAAGGGAATTAATTTCTGCATAGTCAGTGTCACTAAAGCGTGAGACTTGGAGCCCGCGCTGGTTTAATTCAAATGCTTAGTTAAGGCTGGAGGCCTTGGCAAGCAGGGGAAGCGTGAGGCCGGAGCCTCGGGGGTCCTGCCCTGCGGTGGGCAAATGCTGCCACCGCGTGGGCTTGTGTCTCTGCTCCAGGTGCCCTTAAGAGTGTCCGTGCTGAGTGCTGGGATTTGAAGAGCTTCCTGTGTGGTGACTCCTGGCTGTTCTGTAACGAGCTCTCGGGGGCAGTGAGGAGAGGCTTGGTTTGTTTAACAGACATGTTGCTGTAGAAATKAATCCTTGCTGCTTTAAGTGAAACGAGTGTTTCGATGCTGAGCACCGCAATGAAACGAAACACCTGGATTCACGCAGGCGGCTGCTCTGCTCTYGCAGCGCTGCCTTCCCGTGTCCCTGTTGCCATGGTAACTTGTCTTCCTTCAGATTTTTCCCTTCAGGCAATTCCATTACATATAATATTAAAAACAAGCTTTGCTTCATATCTAGTGCTCCAAGGCTTTTCCCACCTGCCCCCTCTATAGAACATGTCTGGCTACAAGCCAAAGCTAGAGGAAGGGGAAACCTGCTTTTTTTCTACCCACCCTCTAGTATTTCTGGCTAAAATATTCCCACTTTTACCTCCAGCAGAATATCAGGATAATCTAGCATTATTTCTGCTACTGTGAAGGTAGTGACTAGAAAAGCTCTCTTTGAACGATACAGTTGAGGTAGAATGTTGAACTGAATAGTAAACAGTTTAAAAAATGAAAAATAGCCAATGTTGGTGAAAGTCTTTGACTTTTCTGTGTATTTTCTTTGGAGGATGATAGGAAAAAAATGTGAGGATATGCTTATAAGATTGTCATGTTACATGTATAACATGAACATGCCAATCAGTCAAATCAAACTGAACTTCTGACTTTTTTTCAGTCTGGGTCATGAAATTATTAACACCTTTTGTGATGATGAGTCCATATACCCTGAGTAATGTTTAAGAGTGTGAGGTTTTTGRTTACTGTTTGGCCAGCACACACAGAATCAGAGCAGACTCGATATTAGTATAGCAAGTCTGAAGGCTCAAGCAGCTTTGGCCTAAGCTAGGGAGCTCCTGTCCTGTGAGGCAGCACCAAAAGCAGCAGCAGTTAAATGCAATGTACAGAAAGGCTTGAGGAAGAGCAATATTTTTTTTCCTGAAAAATCAGTCTGCTCTGACYGTTCTCCAAGCTGAAGGGATCAGGTGGATAGAAATACTGTGGATAGTCAGCAGAGGGAGAAATCCTGTCTTGAGGACGCGGGTCTGGGACTTTGAGGGATCCCTGAGTTCAACAGATGCCCCTTTGGTTGGTTGGTCCCTGCCAGCTGCACTCAGCTGTACAGTGCTAGGAATCTGGAATTCTGTGTGAAAATTATACATTTTTATAGGTAATGTAGTACATAAGTGATATAGAATTGCTTAGAATTAGAATTGCTTCAATTTGGAGGAAGGATGTTTGCAACATGCCTGGTGAAACACTTCTGGTTCAAACTAGTGCCTTAGGTGCCCCTGTGTTTTTTGTTTGCCTGATTAAAACCTTGCTTTAAGGTAACATTCAGGTTGCTTGGTTCATTATGCCTGCACTGATTTCTTTTTTCTTCTTCCYGGGAGTGCTTTGTTACATGAACATTTTAAAAATGCAAAAATGGGTTTCGTGTTGATGTTCTATTAAACTTCAGTTTATTTCTTGGCAAAGACTGGCAGTGCTAATTGTCTTTCATTCTGAAATTCAAGTACTGCGTTTTGGTGTTAACATTTGTATAGAATTAAAAAGGGCCTATTTCRAGCATCACTTTTTTGATGGCCTGAAAATGTCCTTGTATAGTGTGTGTTGGCTTCAACTGGTGGTCATTCTGTAAAATGCCATGTTTTTCAAACATTAAGATTCTGTGTCTGCAGTCTGAAAGAAAAAGTTACTGCACATTTTTTGATGCTGTCTTAAGCTGTGTGCCTGTKATATGCACTTGCTTTCTCAAATTACCACCTAAAGCTTTTTCAAAGCCATAAAAGTGCAGAGATACTTGTGGTTTGCATGTGCTAACGTATTCTCACTTTGTTTTTCTCTCTTTAAGGCAAGAACTTCTAAAGTGGAATGGATGGGGATATAATGACTCCAAATTCATATTCAATAAGAAAGGTCAAGCAGAATTCACAGGAAGAAGGTATATTGAACATTTATCATTGAAACAGAATAAAGTGTTTTATTAAATATTTTTCAAAATGCTAATAAATTTAAAAACGTGCAGTTTTCTGCCTTGTTTATTCTCAGAATCAGTTTTAAAGTTATTTGATGTTTATCTGGTTTGTTACACTCTATGTATAGTCTTTTGTATATGTTTTAAAATAGACTGTGTGGCTTAAAATAAATTTTATTAAAAGTATTATAAAAATACAAAATCTGCGTTATCCATAACTTCATATACCCACTGTGCATTGAACTTTTTTTGAAGAATGGGATCAGACTGCAAACCTGTGTTGCCTCCTAAAGGTCTAGGGAACATGCAGCAGTCCCGTGCAATTTGGCAAGTTTTAAGAATCTCATGAGCATCAGCAAGTAGCTTTACTATTTAATTTGCAATTCATTTTTTCCTAAACTTTCATGCATGGAGCTCTTCAATCCTCTGAACTTAAAAGTTGCTCTTTAATAGTGCGTTTTTGGTGGTAACTTGCTTTTCTGGCTTATTACCTCCTAGAGCTTTATTAGCAGACTTAATTTTCTAAGAATTGTCATCCTTGAGTAAATAACAGGAGGATTAAATCTACTTAAACGGGTCACTCTTCTGTAGCATTTCAGCCTATCACTTCACATAGTTTTTCCTGCTTAAATGGAAAGAGACTTGCAGTCTTTCTCCTGATTTTAGAAGGTATAAATGCGGTAACTAGTCGCTTTCCTCTGTATATCRTACTGGCATGTTCACATTTAAGCGAGTCCTTCATACTGTTTCAGTATTTGTATCTGAAGAACACAATGGTGGCTTCTTGCTAGAAATAATGGGATATGTGAAGCCATTTCTTGGAGTTGAAAGCCATTCTAGAACTTTTCTAAAGGTCAGGTAGGACCTTCTCTTCCTTTCCATGCGGTTTAAGATCTGCAGTAGATTCCAGGGACATTTGCTTTAGTGGCTAAACTGCAGCCTAGTTATGAGCACGCATCTTCCAGATTTGTTGTGTTCTGTAGGCACAGCTGCTGCTCTGTGGCTTGCCTAGCCACAAACAGGCCTTTTAAGCCTGGGAGAGCCACTGATGGAAATGCCCTTCCCTTGGGATTTGCTTGAGGCTTTTGAGATTGCACTTTTAGTTGCCTGAATTTTGGCCAGATCTATCCCTTGTCCTTATTTCTTTGCTTCCAAGGAAAGAAATAGGAAGCACTGAAAGAAAATGGGAAGAGTGGGAAAACAACCRTAAGTACTCAGAGCCACTTTCATAGCTCGCAAAGCTGAGGGTTTCAGGATCCTAACATGCCACACTAATGAAGTCAGAATATTATATTGTTTCCATAGTTTCTTCGTTAGGATTGCATGGAGGAGGTGTTTTTTCTAGACTTTTGCTCCTGTCTCTGTCGCACGTTCTTTCAGTTGGTATTTCTTTAGCTGTCCATCTGGAGTGGGTTTATGCTCCATAGGAAGCTTCTCTCAGGGTGCAGTGAAGAGAGAAAGGGCATGGAGCAGGAGTTTCATTTCAGAAAGAAGCACTGAGGCTGCTGCACTGGTCTGACTGATGAGTGCCAGTCAGTGCTCCAGAGTGGTGCCGCTCTTGCCCATCTGCAGTCTCTAAGTGATGGATAACATGAGAAGGGCCCTCTTGGGCCATGCCTGTTCCTGTGCACTCATCTCCCAGGGATAGGGGGCTCTTTGAGAAGAGTGGGAACTCAACTTCTTTGTGACAAACTGCTTTCAGCATCCACTAGGATTGTTGGAGGTGCCTAGTGCTTTTAGTGTCCATTTACAGATATATTGTTCATGAACTTGCCAAATACCCTTTGAGTCAGTAAACTGATACTGTCTGGCGCTCTAGCATCCCGTGGGAGCACCTTCTGGAAGGTCACTGCTGCTGTGTAAAGTACTTCTGTTTTAAATTGAGTACCCCTTATTTCTTGTGTGGCAGGATTAGGGGAACAGTGCTGCTTCGTTCAGCTTCTCTGCTGCTACCTTGATTATGCAGGACTTGGTCAAACCTCCTTCCCAGCCTTCTGACCATACAGAGAAGTCCTGGATCTTTTAGTCCCTCCTTGCAAAACTCTGTCCCCTTGATCTTACTAGTTGCTGTTCYGTGAATTTTCCCAAATACTGCCTGCCTTGGTGCAGGGGTGGGAGCTGCACACATGAATCRGGGTGGATGAAGGTCTTTTAAGCAGCAAAAAGTGTCTTGTTTCTCAAAACCCTCCCTGGTGCTGCCTGACACTTGGCTGCTGTTGAAGTTGTTGGTGATGATGCAGGAACTTTCACTGGATCAACAASCAATCTGAGAGGAGCAGAATGTACACGGGCCACTTGGTCTTTTTTCTTACTCCTGCAGTTATCTACATCAAAGCTTATCTTTTTTCATTTGCCTATTTAGTTTTTTTAAAGGTTCTGGAGTTTTCTGCAACCAGAGTGGCACTTCTCTATCCAAAAGGACTTAATTTCCACCTGCTTGGAGATTCCACATTTTGTTTGAGAAGGTGGATGAAGATTTTAAAGAAATCTTCAGCATTGTTCCTGCCAGTATTGCTCTGTGGGGACCTGTACTGCTGAGTTTATTTTGGACAGGAATCAATAATCCATGCCCTTTACTTCCTGTCTTAACTTTTCGGTCAAAGAGACTTTCTGTAGCAATATACTTCCTCTAAAACCTTTGTGGAAGTCCAAATGTTTTTTAATTGTGTGTTCATTCATATAACTCCATGATTAGTGAAACAGGATTTCCTTTTCCAGGAAACTRCTACTGGTAGGAACTACTTCTGTAGTTCTAGTTTGTCTTTTGAACAGTGGTGAAGGCTGATGCAGCTGAAGTTCCCAAACTTCAGAACTGTGATGGGTCAGGGTTGCAACTGGCTCAACGTGAATAAAAAAAAATCTTTAAGAACAGCTATCAGGCTTAATGCAGTGATGCAGGTGCAAGCTGTAGTAAGGATTCTCAGCTGCTGAAAGTTTCTAATACTGAAGAAGACTTTTTATTCTCCTTGGAGAATGTTTGTGCATAGCTGCATATGCGCTGTGTGTCCATATAATTAACAAYGACTGCCTGAACAGTGTCCTGACCTCACCTCTTCTGCAGGTGGTTGCATGGCTGTAATCAGCTCATCTGTCCGCCCAGCTAATTCAGAGTAAACTTTCAAATATTTTTATCTGCCCTCTGGATCAGCTTTTCCTAAAGTAGAAGCTAAATATCTTTCAGTCTCCATGTTTCCCTTTCTGAGTTTGACCTCAGACTTGTCATGCCATAAAATTTCTGCTGTTAGGACAGTGCAGCGTTTCTTGCCCTTCTGCAGCATTTGGGTTGTTCAGCCTGGAAMGTGTTTTTTGCTCACCAAGACTCCAGTCTTTTGTTGAAATATTCAATGAGAAGAGCGAGTTGCTTGGATTAGAAAATACAGAAAGAGTAAAAGCAGTTGTCACACAGCTTTCTGCCTTACTTGGAGACATTTCTTAAATGGAGAGGGTGGTAGTGTTTAGAAAAACAACCAACYRAACAAAAACCATATAAACCTAAATTTTGCTATGWTTCCCAAAGATCTTAAAGTGAAAATGATGTTTAAGTTAACAGTTGATATGATTTTGTGTTAAGTACAGAACACTAAGTACTGTGAAATATGTGGTTGTGTGAAAGCTGAATATGTGGAAGTCTTGCAGACATGTAGATAAAGCATTTCATTTAAARCTTACTCTTTGTGACTGAGTAGAATAAAAAGTGGAATGTCTGATATGCATTGTTTTCATTTAAAATGACCATATGTAATATTGACTTTACAGGTACAGGTTAGGTGGTATGGTATTACCAACTTTTAAGGAATGGATAGAAAAAACCTTTGGAGCAAGTCTGGAGCACAAATCTACCTCTAGAGTAAGTAAATAGCTCAAAAACCAGTTCCTCTGAACATTCATMTTGGTGATCAAGATCAATTTGTCTACTAAAAATGATTTGGAAGTTGTCAGATGGCCTTGCATATGGTTGACTTAGAGTGTAGTAACACTGTAGAAGAGCTGATACTTGTTACCAAACTGCTATATGAAACCTTCAATAGAAAAACTTCGTGTTCTCAGTCAGCTGATAATACTTTAATTGCAATAAGTTGCAAAGTAAATTTTTGTCCTTAGTTCTAGGTGAAACTTTTAGTCAAGGGGGAATTTCGTTRACAAAGACTCCTGGTTATTCACGATAACAAGTGTAGAAGATAGTGAACTTAAATATGCAGTGTTTTCGGTACATTTATTATAAGCAGGCTAAGCTCATGCTGTGCTTATGAAGTGACCTGCTTTGGAAAACAGTTTCTTCAGTTAGTTGAAGATTTAATTTTTGCTGAAGCAAATAATCTTTTAGGGCCTGAAAATGTGAACATGTCTTCAGTCTACTGCTGAYCATTCCTCTTTTCATCTGCTATGGCTTGCAGGACAATAGAACTTTCAGGACAGTTGGGAAAAAAAGAAATCTGTCTTCACAYGAGCATCTTCCTTGACCTACATTGATGTGTTTGTTAAAATTCTTTTCACTAGTTGTGACTAGTGGCCTGAGAGCAGTTTTCCCCCTTTTTTACATACAGAAACATAGAAAGGAGTAAGATTAGAAGGGAGAYTTCTTAAATCTTATCCTGCTTACACAGCACACCTTGCAGACCAGCTCTTTAGGAGATCGGTCAGCAGTGTGAGTGCCATCCTGTTATGTAGGAAGTTCTTATTCTAGTGTAATCTGAAATTTGTTGTAACCAAATAGGAGACCTCTCTGGAGTCTCTAGTGTAAGTCTGGGCTTGTAGTATGACTCTGGGTCTTCTGTTTGGATGTCTCAGTGACGGTTTCTAGTGTGTATTGCTTTTTACTGTCTACTGTCATCAGAGAATAAAGGAACTCGGGTATAGGAACAGTGGTAGGAAAGGGACTTCTTGGCCAGTAAGTCTTTCTAACTCATTTCTTGCTTGTGTTCAGTAAGACTAGAGTTTTTTTGCAGTGCAAGTTGTTTTCTTGCTATCACTAGCATGCAGTAAATGTTCCTGCTTCCCTGATGCTCAAAGCTTCATGAGTTCTTGGCTTATCAACAGAAGCAATTAAAAGTTAGTTCAAGTAGGCTTTATTCCAGCCTTCCAGTATATGAATCTCATTCAAATAGCTCAGTCCTACAAGAATAAAGGTATATTTTTCAACTGACGTTGTTATAAATAGCTATTATAAGTGAATTATAGATTATAAGTGAAAAGTTCCTGCCTTCTTCAATAACTTTCTCGCAGAAAGCACAAAGCTGAGAAATGGTCAACCTCTTAGATGTCATCTGGGATCAGTGTTATTGTGGGCCAGTACTTGCAGTGTTGTAGTAACAGGTCTACCTTTTTCTCTCCAAGACTTGATTTGTTGAGGATACTTTCCTTAAGGAAATTAACTTACTTGAATAGATGAGTCTGTTCAGAGTGAAYATAGACTTCCCTAGAAGATGCCCCAAAACCAAGTTTAGAGAAGAATCATTCAAACACACAATACACATGAAATCTGATCCTGGCTTCCTCTGTGCTTATTGTGTTAAGTTGTCATCTCTTAGAAGCAATGTGCTTTTCTTGAAGCTTGAGGCTCTTTGAGGCTTCAAGACAGCCAAGTAGCTGCCTCATGCAGATGTTTCTTAAAGAATTATCCCTGTAAGTACTTTCAAAAATCTCAACATATGTTATTTCTTTTATAATGGGCACCGTTAGGTAACTAGGCAAGTTGCATCGTCATGCAGCCTTGTTACCTGAACACTTTCCTTTTGAAGGTTGTCTGCCTTCCTGTAGGTGTCTTGCTGCAAGAGCCAGTCCCTTCAGTAGACTGGAGGGTGCCAGATAAGAGATTATTAATCTCCATGTTCTCCTTAATTAGCTTGGAAAGTGCTGTTGTGCTCTAAGGTTTTGTCTTAACAATTCGCTCATAACATGGCAGCAGAAAGTGTAGGCTGGGTGGAACAAAAATACATGAAGCCCTTTCTTCAAGGACAGGAAACTCTCATGARTGAATGTATTTTTTTATAGAAGGCTGAAAATTTAAGAAATGAAAGAAAAAAATCAGCTTTTACTTCTCAATAAGCATAAGCTAGTTCAAAAAAGAGTCTACATAATTAAAAGAGAAGCTTTCTTGTATGTAATACTTGGTCTTTGGTAGTAGGATTTTAAACAAGMTCATTTGGTGTCTTTAGGCAGTTTATACTATTTTCTGTTGACTTTCAAACAATTTCAGGAATGCCCTTTCATTTCAGTAGGAGCTGGTGTCACTTGCTAGGGTTGTCTTTGTGTTGAAATTCCGAAAGACCTGCAGCATATACGTCAGCTGGTTTTGTGCAGCTAAGTTTTTCAGGAGAATTAAATAAAGATATTGAAAAACTTTCTTCTGTTCTTGAATGACTCTAGTAATTAGAAGATACTGTGTTTCCCCAAATAGGAATGCATTGAAGTATAGACAGGTTTTCAGACATAAGATTAAAATTTTATATTCAATTAAATGATACCYTTTTTAAAGGCCACATGTAGTGGACTTACTTCTTTAGAGAAGTAACACATGGGAGAAAAAAAAAGTGTGAATAAACCTGAAACTTCCTCTATTCATTATATTAAAAAAGCTACTTTTTTGAATTTTCAAAAGTGAAYCTACCTTTTTAATGAACTTCTTGTTTTGTAGGCAACCTTAAATGTTAATGATGTACCTCCATCCATCGTAAATGAAGAATTCCTTCAGGATCTTAGAGCCACTAAAATCTCATATTCACAGGATGCAGAAGATAGGGTATTCAGAGCTCATGGTAAGAGAATGTCATTTATATAACTGTGTGCTTTTAGATACTTCCTGTTCTAACATCTTAATTTGTTATTTGGATTTTAGGTCACTGCCTACATGAGATATTTGCACTCAGGGAAGGAATTTTTAAGCGAATTCCTGATATAGTTGTCTGGCCTGGTAAGCTTTAGTTTTTGTTTTCCCTTCTGATCTGGGAAATTGTTTCTTAAACTCTGCATTCTTGTTATGGGGAGACTCCTAAAGGAGTCTTTTCCATGAGTGGTAACGATGATTATTTAACATTTGGATTACTAGTTTTACCTGGGAAATCCCAATACTCCCAATGTTGCCATGGGGAAGTCAAATTCATTGTTAAATGTAGTTGAAGATTTTTGGCAGATGAATTGGAATGCGTTCAAAAAAAAAAAAAAAAAATATGACCAGCAACTCTACTGTAGATGTAGTCTTCATGTTTCAGAGGAGACTTTTCTCATTTCAGATAAATTGGATATCCCACTGTAAAGGAGCTTTGAATTTAACTTACTGTCCGATGCTTCTAGCAGAAAGGTTTGCTAGGAAGTCTCAATCCATGAGTATAACAAGGCTGKTTTTTTCCCAGGAAACGAAAGCTTGTAGCTTTTCTTTAAAAGAATGTGATTGTTTAGATCGGAACTTCACTCTCAACTCTGATACTTTTGAGCCTGGTTTATATTTACTACCTAACTGCCTTTGAAATATCTTCCCTGCTGGTGCTCCTGCTTATTCAGCCTGCTTTGTAAACACAATTTTTGTTTGTTTCTGTGTGTTATCGTTGTTTATTTCTTTTTAGTTTGCCATGAAGATGTAGTTAAAATTGTGGAGTTGGCCTGTAAGCACAATCTCTGCATAATACCATTTGGTGGTAAGTATTAGCAAATCTCAGTCTGTTTAATATAGTTAAAATGTACTTGAAATAAATTTTGATGTTATTGTAATTCCAAAGTACTTGAACTTGATACCTTGGGGGATGAGGGATATTTAAGCAAAAAGCTTTCTCTTTTGTTGTGGGTATTGTATCTGGTGGTGTTCTTGAGTGTTTTATGTGCTTGGTTCATTGGCACTGTGTCTGGACTTGCTATTGCCTAAAAGGGATTCTTGYGGTACCTTGCTGGTACTTTCTTCTTACGGCTTTTGTAGGCTTTGAGAAGTCAGAGGATTCGCAGAGACTGTTCTATGTTATATAATAAAGATGCATTAGAAACCTCCACAGAGGTTTGCCATTTGGTTTTATGCATCTGTTTTTATACCCTTCCAAAAGTTTCATACTTGATTTAAGGTACGTATTGTATTCCTATATTAAGGAGATTTCTTCAGCTTTTGAGAGAGGAGCATTAATATCCTTGTAATTCTGTCAGTTATTTAGAAAACAACTGTTTCTTGGCTGACTTTGATATTGCCCTATTGTAATATTCTGTTCTGARCTTTATTGTGAGCAGTGAGGTGCTAGCCACAGATAAGCAACATAAAGAAAGTGATCTTTAAGTTCAAAACATGAGAGGAAATAGAACAGATTGCATGTAATATTCTAAGGTAACTTCTATTAATCAATGTATTTTTTTCCATATTTTCAGGAGGAACAAGCGTCTCTAGTGCTCTTGAATGTCCTGAGGAAGAAAAAAGAACAATTGTCTCCTTGGATACATCACAAATGGTATGTAGTGCCTTTGTAAGAAACAAGCATGTTGAAATTGAAAGCACCCTATAGCTACTTTAAATGATGATCAGTGAAGAATGATGTTTGTGCTTGATGTAGGAATAAAGAGTTAGAAATATTATGTGTACTATGCTTGATTAAATTCTCTTTTAATTCAGATGGTATTTTGATGTTAGCCTTATATTCTGTATGATCAGAAGCCACCATTCTTCATACCATTGTATGATAGAAAGTAATAGCCAAGGGTAAGTGAAAGCCTAGCAGGAAGTGGTTTATTGTAAATTTCACTGTTTGTTTTTTTGCAGACTAAAAAAAAATACTTGAACATTGAAGACTGAGATGGCCTAAGATCTGTAACTCAACTCGGGAAGGCTTAGCTTACCAAAGACTAGATTTCATATAGAGGGCATCTTGAGAACGTGAAGTTCACGGCTTCCTGGCGTTTTGGAAAAAAAAAAAAAACTAGTTCTTAGTGTCAGTTTCCTGTTCTCAGCTTTCTGTTATGAAGAATTCTTCATTTGTAAAATCTCTTTGGAGATTATGCAGTAGAGAGACCTCGACAATGGCTCTATATCCTTAATGTAAGGCTGAGCTCCCACTGAGCTTTTTGACTCTTTCAGCCTGAGAGTAAGGTCTGGATTTTGGGGTTCTACCCACCCATTCAGTGGTGATTGGGTTAGGTGAGCTGCTTCTCACTCTTTCTGGCTACAAAATGAGCTTTCTTACAAGAGTGGTAGATAAACACTGAAGGCAGCTACTTTATCATTTGGGCATCTTTGTGAAAGTGAAATCTGAAGAGTACAATACTAGAGAAAATATCTTTAAATGATAATTTAATCAGGCCTGTAAGATGCCTGCATCTTTTATCATTGAATAAATTGAGGGAAATGGAAGTTAGAGCTGTTCTTCTATGCAATATGAATACATAATATAAAAATACTTAAACAGAAATGAAATCGAATGCCTTTTTTGATCTGGTATTGCACTAAATGTTTCAGAATGAGCCTCATTTATCATTTCATGAAATCTGTGCATTTTAATACCAGCTGTTAMTATGACTTCAAATAGATGGGCATAAAAATAGGAAAGCTTCTGCCTTTGAGTAGGAGAAACAGCAGTCTTCTGCAGCAGAAAACTTCTGAACTTTTTTTGTGGTACTTCTTGGGAGCCTTGTTTCTTAATGCTTCCCCKACTTAGGGGCTGTAAGTTGTACTCCATGGAAGCTGTCTATCTAGCTGTGGCGCCTACAGGACATCTGTACCTGGAAACSTGAAGAGTGGACAAAGTTGTTTTTGATAGATGAAGCTTGATGCAGTTTCTGTCGATGGCTTATGCTCTGTGCCATATCTAAGTTCTCTAAAACAAATAAAAAAACCTGAAATCACGTTGAAACCACTAGCACTGCACTTGCTGGGTGAGCAGGTGGATGCTGCCTGGGAGATGATGCTACGTTCTGGGTATACCTGCAGTTCTGTGTCCTTCACTGCTCTTAATGCCTTGTTGAAACTGAGCAGTGTAGCCTCGTTGAGGGAGACAGGCATGTCAYGTCAACTGCTTTAATATTCACACTTTCTTTGCTCCAAAACTTRCAAAGAATTGTTACTACCTGTTCCCTCTATTAATAGCTTAAATTTATTTTCATAATGCTGCTTTTTCTAACCTGTAGTTCATGTTGACTAGATAATAATTMTGAGTGAAAAGGGAAGTTGAAGGTTTAGACTTGCTTTATGTGAAGTGAGCTAAAGCTAAACTTGCATTTTTTTTCAGTTTTGCCTGGATTTTTTCACAGGGATTGTTCTTCACATGGATTGTTCTTTTTGACAGTGATTCTTAGGGTGGCATGTAATTCATATTATTTGCTGGTTTCCTGTTCAATAGAATATGCTAATGGGACAATGAATGTTCCCATCAGGCAAAATGATGCAACTTTGCAAATATTTTAATTTTCTAAAGTACTGATAGCATGTTGGAGTTTATTTCCTGCTTCTAGTGTAGTGTATCAGTGCCCAAGAGCTGAAGTGGATTATTGCCTGTGATCTACTTAACCCACAATACCTACTCAGGAATACTTTCTTTGGTGCACTCTTAATGTCTAGATATGTAGATTCAGATACCTTCAGTTGTTTTAATTGTGCGGAAAAAAAAAATTGTATCATTCATTTCTGTAAGAGCTTAATTACTTCTGGCTTTTCTACTTGACTTCTCTAAACACTACCAGGGTAAATTTTGACTAACAAGTATAGTGTTATTTATAGTACTATTAAGTGGCTATACAATATACAGTGTAATATACACTTTACAAGTGTATATTAAGTGACTATAGTCACTTAATAGTGACTTTACAAACTGTAACCTGTCGTGTAACTGTTTGAGGAGACGAAGGAGCTCAACTTCCACTGCTGTCACAAGTAGAATTGTGTTAAATTTTATGTSCAAGTATGTGGGCTATGTAGTTTTTTTGGAACAAGTAAACAAATCCTTAATACTKGTTCTTATCTTTGACTTGTTTTTCAACAGAATCGGATTCTCTGGATAGATGAGAAAAACTTGACAGCTTGTGTAGAAGCTGGCATTGTTGGGCAAGATTTGGAAAAACAGGTATTTAGAGTCATCTGGAGTTTCTTCGTATTATTCTTAACGTTGCTCCTCATATCTTGCCAAAATCATTGGATTTATGGTATATTTTCATGCAGGCACTGAGCTACTAAGCATTAAATACATGATTGTGAACTATATTATACTGGATGCTGTATTTGATATATGTATATTAAAACTATTGTTAGCTCTATCTATAAAAAAATGTGCAGTAATAAGCTGACAGTTGATAGGCTGTAAGAGTGCACATCTTGCACATCTTAGCTATGTCTTTTTGTGATTTTTAAGCACTTCAGTTTGAAGTGCTATCACTTCACTGTTGTTCTATGCCAAATGTTTTAGTTATTTTAGCTAGAGGCAGAGTTTCCTTGGAGAGGTTGTAACATATAGCAGGGTGTGCTGCTGCTGGTGATGGTGCTTAAAGTTCTCTAGAGGAGAGCTGAGGCAGTTGAAAACATGGATCTCAGTGGAATAAATAATCATTTCTCAGTGTTCTTTGGATGCTTTTAATTGATATATCAGACAAGCCGTAGCATCTTGTCGGAGTCTTCCCAGTGTTCCTCTGTAATCAAGCGAGCTGCAGATATTTGCTACTGTTCCTCAGGAGGRACCCATTTGTTCACGAACTGTTAGATGATTTCTAGAACTTGCCCTATTTGACAGCAATATGCCATCTAAACTTTTTGAAGGGCCTTAATGCACTTTTTAAATATGCAAAAACTTGCTTGAAAAGTTTCTTTGGAACATCTTTTCACCCTCCTTTCCTGTTTGTGGATGGATGGAAGAGGAAGAGAATTTGTAAAGCTTTATTGACAGAGCARTTTATGATAGAGATGGGTTTTCATCTCTAGCTAGATTGTTACAGTTAGTACAAACTGGTTTCAAATGTACTAAATACAGTTTTTTATTGTGAGACTGCTGGATCTCAGTTTCTGTTGGCCTGCTTTGGCACAGCAATTTTGAGGATGTTCACTGGACCTCAGGTGCTGTGCAGATGGTAAAGCCAAACTAATACAGAAAAATGAGAAACAAGTGACTACTTAATGCACAGGAATGCCTGATCTGCATCACAAATAGTTGACAGCATTGCATGCAGGAAGCCCAGACAGATGGCTGTATATTAAAACACATCACTCCTTGAGAGAATTAAATACAAGCAATTTGGTCACACTTTCCATAGGCCTGCTGCATATCATATTAGGATAGAAGGAACAAGAGATTAAGTGCCTTATTTATTGGCAATGTTTGTGTAAAGTTGGCAGTTACTTGATTATTTTTTCCATATGCACTTGAATTGTACCTTCTTACAAGCAGTAGTATCTGTTTTAAAATGGGGGGAGGATTACAGGTGATTATACAGCACAGCATGTGCAGGGTAGAAGCAGAAGCATTTTGCATTGCACTTAAGTATCAAAGCAAAACACATAAGTTTGACTGCATAACTGATGGTGGAGGTGGTAGGATGTTTCTTGGTATTAATACTCCCAGGCTCAATATTTTAATTTTTTTAAGTAAATGCAGGCTCTATGTAGCATGTATTGTTTCCTTCCTTCAGCTTGCTGAAAGTGGCTTCTGTACAGGCCATGAACCAGATTCCATGGAATTCAGTTCCCTTGGAGGATGGGTAGCAACACGAGCATCAGGCATGAAAAAAAACATCTATGGAAACATTGAAGATCTGGTAAATATTTCTAATGCTTGTTCTGATTCATTTTCTTGATGGTTTGAGGGCCATCACAATTTTTGTAATGACTAATTATGATGGAAGAARGAAGGTGAATTGCAGTTCTGTTAACAAGCGATACAGTCTTGGCATCCAATTTGGCAGAGGTGCTTGTTTGCTTGCTTTTGGTATTAGTACTGATAATACGTAACACTGACATAAAAACAGGCCTGACTTTTTTGACGCTCTGTGGCTGCCTTATCTGTTGTGTGTTCTTGAAGCAGTCACGCTGGGTCAGCCCTTTCTGTCAGCAGGCTGGTTCTCTTACCACCTTCGCCCCTTAAGCTGCTTTTTTTCACRTTGGCAAGCTGAGCTGATGGGCCCTGTGGGTACCCGAGCGCTAAACGTCGTGTCACCACGGGACATGCAGAGTCGTGAAGAAAGCCAGGGACWGGGATGGCAGCGTTCTGCCCTAAATTCCTTTTAAGTATTAAGATACTGACCCAAGTAATATAGGCATATCATTGATTTTAAGAAAAAAACTACCTTTATTGGTGTCATTTATGAATAAAGCTGAAAGTAATAAACCTGGAAAGAAACACCTAAAAACGAATGAGCAAAAAGAGTCTTTTAGCCTTACATATAAATTTATATGTATATAATATATAATTCATTTCACAAAGCTGTCTTCTCTTTCCTCTAGTAGAAATATATTTCTGTAGCAACTGATGACTGAATGAGATTAGCTTTCTTTATCAAGCTTAATTTAAACAACAAAATGTGTTTCTYCTGCTTAAAAAATATTTTTTTTTCCTGTTAGGCCTTATATATTCTGGATGAAAATTCTAGTATACAAAGAAAGTACTGTCATATTGAGAGAAACAAAGTGGTTTTAGCCACGACTGTGTGCAATCAACRGTTAATTTCATTTGGCAGGGACCTGGGAGCAATCTGTTGTGCTGGCAAACTGTACTGCATTAGAAATAATGGTTAACAGTTCTCTGTTATCCCAAAAGTTTTTAGGGCAGCCTGCAGAACATCTAAAGCCTCCAAAGCTGAACTATGTCAAGCTTAATAGGAATTTTATAGTAAATGATTATTATCATTAAAAAAGAAAATCTATGCTTAATGCTACAACATGTAATCATTGTATATTGCTTAAACAGGTGATTCATATAAAAATGGTAACTCCTAGAGGGATCGTAGAAAAAAACTGTCAAGTACCTCGCATGTCAACAGGACCTGACATCCACCACTTCATTATGGGATCTGAAGGTATAAACACAGTAATACCATATAACAGCATCTTAATTCAGCTTCTGTAATGGCCTTGTGATTTGAATATGTCTAACACTATGGCTTTCAATGTGTTTATAGGTGACATTCTGCAGACATGKATTTCTTATGTTGTGATAACACATTGAGACCTTAATTAGGGCCATAAAGTTATGTAGCTGTGCAGTTACTCTGTATTTCTAGTAACAAACCATGTGATTTAGAGAGTAGCTTGTAAGTGCGTGTTTTCTTTTTAGCTGTGTAAGTTGTCAGGGATAAATCATCTAGCAATTCGGTGTTTAATTCTGGAGACTTCTAACTTACATCAACTTAAAACTTGTTTAGCAGTTGCTAATAAGTTGGGTAACTTGAAGTGCATCTTCCAGCACTTTACTACCTGTTTTTTCTTTTTCCCTGAAGGAACTCTTGGAGTCGTTACTGAAGTTACAATAAAGATTCGCCCAGTGCCCGAGTACCAGAAGTATGGCTCTGTGGTCTTCCCCAACTTTGAAAGAGGGGTGGCCTGCTTAAGGGAAGTGGCAAAGCAGGTAAGGACTTTATACAAGAATACACATTCTAGTGTTGTCCTGAGTGCAGTGCCAAGGGGAGGCTGATGCTCCAGTCTGCCTGCCKGGGCATTGAGTAAAGATTTGAGAGCCTGTGTAATGTGCTAAATACTTGCATGCCAAAGATCTTTAGATGTTATAGTCCAAAGATGCTTTGAGAAGTGAAATATTTTGTTGAACTATTTTGAATAGTGTTAGACATTTCTTACTGTAACTGTATTCTTACTGCAATTGTAATAAAATGAGAAGATTTCTAGCCTTAAACTGTATTTTGATAGAAAAGAATAGGAAGTATAGTTATGCAGACTTATCTTGTCTGATAGGTCTTCTATTGAAAATGCATGGAAAAGTCCACTTGAAGGTTGTCGTATAGTAGTGAGTGGATGCTCTTTATAGAGTATCTTTCCAATTTTAGGAAGATATTTTGTGTAACTATCTGACAGTGTTTTTTTCATRTTGCTGAACCTAGTGAGGTTCTGGTACACTGAGTTCTAAAGACTGTGTATTATGTAGATATCTGTGTGTAAAAGCCTTGTGAACACATTTTTACTGAAATGCATGACAGTGTTTTTAATTCTTCCCCGTCCTTCCTGCAACTTTGCCCTCAAGAGATGTGCTCCTGCCTCAATTCGCCTTGTGGACAATGCACAGTTTCAGTTTGGTAAGTTCATGCATCTTGTCTCAAATGTATACCTGTTTCTGAGTTAAAGTAGCTCAGTTGGCCTTTTTCAGTCAAAAGTAGACAGTAATGAACCCCAAGGTCAAGCTCCAGACAGTGCCATAATGCTAACTGTCTGTGAAAATCCATCTTTTGCTCTGGAAAAGCATGTTTGGATACATACTCTGCAGTTAGATACAGAAGACTCTTGGGACATATTCCTCGTTATCACAATTGTATACCAATTTGTTTGGTAAAAATTTTTGCTGTTTTAAATACAGAAATAGAACAATGTCGGACATACAGAGTGATCATATTTGAGCGCCTCTTAGAGGAAAYGATCAGACTAAACTGTAGCAGCTTTGTGGAAAAAAGCAGTATTCTGGCTCAGAATACTTTCGAAGAGTCCCTGAAATTCTACCGTATAAAGAGCTGATAGTTTACAGTACATCAAGTTCTTGCTAAGACTGTTGTATTTTGATTGTGCTCTCGTTGAAAATACCAAATCTGACCTCCAAAACTGATGTTTTAATACCATTTGGAAGAGTYGGTGATGAAACTTAATTTTTAAGTGCCTTTATTCCAATGGTATTGAGGAAGCTGAACACTCTTTTGCTCACAAAGTCAAGATCCCTTTTTAAAGGAAAAAAATAGAAGTAAATTGAGAACCCACAAACCTTGTTGCTTTCTCTGGCCATTTTTTTGTTGCACTGTTTCTCTGACACTGGTAGCAGCAGRCAGATGATTCTGTGCTTCTTTTTAACTGAACACAATTAAGGCAAATTATAAGCTTTGAAACCAGCAGTTAATCTCCAAAATCCAATGTTCCACTTTGCAGTTTTGATCTGAGGTTGTTTGGTTACCCATGAGAGCTTTAGGTTTACTGAGATACATCCACTTGCATTTATAGTTGTGGTTTAATAAATTCATCTCCTTTCATTACCTTATTGGTGCTGTTTTTTCCTTTTTGCATACTTAAACGTGTTGATCTGGATACTTTTGGGGTTTGCTTTTCTCCGCATCTTGTACAAGGGAGAGCCCCTCCTTGAAGAGGGGTGAAGGGGGTAACCAGTTACTGAAGTTCTTGCTTTATTCAGGAGGAAATACTTTGAAGTGTTTTAGAAGGAAGTATCATGTAAATGGTGCGTAACTTTTTTTATGAATTGGGCTTTCAGCATGCAGGCCAGATGCATGCCTGCTAAAATGAAGTAGTTACATGAGTTCAGAAGTTGCTTGTAACTGAAAACAATGGAACAAATAGTAAAAGGCTTTCATCTCAATTAAACCCAGTCTTGAGGCAGAGATGTTAATTTAACAGACTCCAAGACACCATTTATATATCCTGGTAATTGTAGTTCTCTGTATGTGATTAAGGAAGCAATTACTAGTTTTATGTAGAAAATTTTGCACAAGTGACATAACCATTAAAGGAAAAATTGCTTAACTCCTTGCTTGTACCACTTTTGGCTGTTGCTTTCAGTGCTTTTGGCATAACTTTAAAAAGGTCACTGGTTTTGTTTAGCTTTATAGAATAAAGCCTAATGAAGTGCTTTTTAAACAACTTTCTATGTACCATGTACTCGTAAAGATTTAAACCAGGTCAGCCTTAGTTACATCTCTGCATGAAGTAGTGTTAAGTGGAATATTCATGGAGGTGCACACATGCCTTTTAAAAATTAATAAAAGCCTCTTTGTAAATCCGTTTTCCAAATGATTGGAGAAAAGTGATTCTTGCTTTACATACCARATATTTCCTTTGTTTGATGGTAGGGCTAGGAGTTTTAAGATGACTGCTTGCCTAAACACACTTTTTTCCCACTTCTTTTGCCAAAGGTCATGCTCTTAAGCCACAAGTTGCTTCCATTTTTACATCATTTTTGGACGGACTGAAAAAATTCTACATCACAAAGGTACCTGGTTGGGGTTTTGATACTTTTGGGGACTTTTCATGCCGTTCATGGAGTTTGAGATTGTTGTTGTGCAGTCTCCAGTGGAGCAGACATGATGAGTGTAACAGACACTTCCTTCAATGTAGGAAATTGCACATCAGTTACCTGGACAATATCAAGGTGTTTTAATCCAAAATAAGATTGTCTATTTGAGCAGTTTTTCCCTGGAGCTGATCTCACCTGTGATATCTGTAGATAAGTGCCTTGTCTAAGAATGAGTAAGTGGCAGAGCAAGACTAGAAACAAAATGTGTAATTTAGAACCCATTGGTCCTTACTTAATACTGCTGGAGTGAGGCTAGCATTTCACAATTTTCGTGTATCTCTCCACATTTTCTCAAGACGTAGCTTATCTTGCTATTGTGCTAAGCTAGGAATTTGCAAGAACCTCAAGTTATTTTGTTGAGTTTTTGATATCGTTTGTTCTTTCTTGTAATTCGTTCAAATAGGTGCCTGTCTTTAATTCAGAATTAGTCGATTTAAGAATAATTTCACCTAGACTTGTATACTAGCTACCCTGTTTTGTTACTGATTTTTTCCCTAAAATATACTTGCTAAAGATTTTTACACAAATGCAAGCATTTTAATGTAGTAAACAATTACTGCTTATTCTTTGAAGATAATCAGCAATATCAGATTAAAATGGTTTCTTTACTATGTGCTCCCAACAGAACAGGCATCTAAAAATATCTTCAGATAGACAGACAGGACTGAGAAGGTTTAGTGGTTTGCATGCATATTTCAGCAGAAAGTGCTCTGGGTTTCTCTTGCTTGGAAACCGTGTTAGCTTTAGAGATGTCCTGGGAATAATTGTACCTCCTGTATAAGCTGTTGTAACACAAGAATATTCAAAGAAATGAGTGTTTCAGCAATACAATCTTCATCGGGTTTGCAATTGTAATCCCTGCAAGTCGTATCTACTGCAACAGCTTTACCACTTACCAAAGAAAATTGTATTGCAATCCCAACATCTGGAGGAATATGAAAAGCACCAGGTAACACCACAGGAAGTCAGCGTTGGTGACCAGTTTGCGTTTCTGCTTTCCCTAGTAGGGCATAGTCCTCTGGAAGTGCACAAGCAACTCACTTCAGTAAAACTCCCAGCTAGGAGGGGAGATGGGCGTAGAGAAAGGAACAGTTTTGATGACCCTGCTGGGGCTGCCCTTGCCATGTGCCCTAAGGACAAGCTACTCCATTCTACGGAGGAGTAGCAGCATCCTTGGCAATCCCCAGTTGCTGTTCATCTCTGAACTGTTTCCCATAATAAATTTGTGGTCTGAGTGACCCTTTAGGCCCCTTGCTGTATGAACACTTCTAGGTGCCTTGGAGGGTCCCAGTTCAGACAGTCACATACGAGTGTTTGCAAAGGCTCTAGGTATTTTGCCTGTCGCCAGTTCACACTGTACTCACTCTCCAATGTCTCTGAAAGAGAATTGTGTTGACTGATTATTGTGGTAGAAAGATGGAGCAGAAGACTAGAATAAGATTTAGTTAACATTGCAATCTCGATTTCAGGAAGGATGGAGAAAGATRTAACTCAGTAATTCACAGCATCTAATTAATCAAAGAGGTATCTAGAAAACAAGCAGTGCTCTTACTCTTTGGACTGCTCAAAGATTTGGTTCTTGCCTCTTCAACTCTTCCTTCTGGAACAAAGCCATGCAAGCAAGGCGACTGCATGACTGTTAAACCTTTCATGCAGATTTCCTCTCACTTCCACTGGGGTATGCTCTCTGCACAAGTTTAATGGTTATCTTCCCTCCTTTCCACAGTGTTTTCCCTGATTTAGAGGTTTTTCTATGGTATGCTCCTACAGACCATGACCTAAAGTGTGTTTTTTCTTCTTATTGCAGTTTAAAGGATTTGATCCCAACATGTTGTGTGTAGCCACCTTACTCTTTGAGGGTGACAGAGAGAAGGTTCTTCAACATGAAAAGCAAGTCTACGATATTGCCACCAAGTTTGGGTATGCTTTTCAAAAAACTTACATATGAAACTGCAAGTTAAATAAAGAGACTCTTTTTGTAGAAATTGCTGTATGGATTTGTTCTCAGTTTACCAACTGTGTGAATAACTGATTAGGTAAAGTCCCCTTTAAATATAGTCTGTGCTAATTCCAAATAACGGTTAAACTTACTGAGGCACTTGCGCTATTGATAATAGTGCAAAAAGTTTTGATTAAATATACTGTTGAAATTATTAGACCATGAGCTAGCCATTATAATTATTTATAGACTTGAAAGCTGCTTGTTTTGCAATGCTAAAATAAGCTTTTTTACTTTAGCTGCAAAGGGGTAAAGACAGAGTCATAAAGGTGATACTTAACATTTTTCAGAATCAACATMAGAATGTGAATAGTTTATTTTTAACAAAATATTTCCTTTTAATTAAAGGAATTTGATGTATATATCCCAACCACCCTGTCCCAGAAACCTTTTTATACTCTTAAAGAACAAGGAACAGAAAACACTACAATATTAGGCTGAGTAATGATTGAGAGGTTTCTGTCCATCCATTTTGKTTGATTATAAGAGTGACTGACAAGAGCAATCAAGAGTGTCATTTGTCAAAAACATACCTTTTTATTTTTAAAAACAGTATTGCAGGTATCTTAACTATTTAAATACACAGAAATGCCTTAACTGTTTCTAGAGTATTTTTTTCTGACACTTATGCTTTCATTCTGCCACTTAAGTGACTTAAGTTTCACGGGGGCAGTTTGGTATCATTCAGTGATCCCTTTTTTGAGGATGTGGGGAATGTGGAGAGGAGTTCAGGTTTTTGTTCACATATAACTTTTTTGAGATCTTAAATCAGTAGCTTTGCTGCTGTGACCTGCGAGCATACAAGTACCCAAAGCCAACACATTCTCAGAAAAGTAATTGCAGGTATTAGTGTAAGTGAACATCAAGGACGTACTCTGCAGTTTTTCCTCTGCTTTTTCATGAAGCCTAAACACTTAACATGACCTCAAATGTATATTTAATGTTCAGCCCTCTTTAATTCTTCACAGTTCTATCTTTATTCAGTGAAGATCTATGTTGAAATAAGTTGTCATTGCCACAGAAGAAAACAAAATTGCCAGTCTATTATTTTCCAGGGAGATGAATGTTTCTGAGAATTTTAGGTTATCATCACAATGCAGATATATTTAAGTGGTACTTGTCTGTACCTGCTATGCAAAAGATAAGTTCTCAACCATGAAAACAGTCCAAAGTTAAACCTGAGATGACTCATGGTTAATCAGGAAGCATAATAAATTCTGTTCTTAGCTGCAGCCTGACTGCAGCTCTAATTCACTGTCACACCTCCCTGTCTGTGACAGATTTGTACAAAAAGAATAATTAAGAAACCCTCACTGTGTTAAAGTGGCCCTCTTCAGGTACTGTTCTACCAGCTGGCGYGCATGCAGCAGCTCTGTAGTGATGAAGTGTAGCAGCTCTTAGCAGATTGGCAGGACTACAGCAAAGTAACAGATAAATTTTCATGTAAATTGGAGAACTTGAATCTACTTCAAATTTTAAACTATTTAAATTATAAAAGAAGTAGGAGAAATTAGTCATTGTACTTTATTAAACTTTGCAAAACCTCCGTAAATAGACTCTGAAGCTATTTTATATATATATTGTATAAAGGTTTATATGCTTCTGTAATTAAGCAATTAGTCTGTTAATATAGAAATATTAACATCTTATTCTTTAAAAAGCTTATATGGGAACGACTTCACTGATTTAGGTCAAAGATCTGTTTAGCTGAATAATGTCTGAGTGGAAGATATCTAAGTACAGTGTGTTAAACTAATACAGTTTCAATATTGATCTGCAGTATAGTGCTTCCTAAAAAGGTTTAATTTCTAGATGTGTTCTTCACTTTACTAGGTCTGAGGTAAGTATATCATATATGCTTGCTTCAAATTATTTTCTTTAGATCATAGAATCACAAAGGTTATAGAAGACCAAAGACTGTATTCCTCATGTCGGTGCCTTTTCCACTGCCTCCAGAGTAGTGATGTCTGACGTGTTGCTGCAGTTACCCCCTTGTTACAGGGAGAAGGTGAAACTGAATCCAGAAAACATCATCTCCAGATGTTTGATCTGATTTGGTTGTGTCTCGAGTCTTCAGAATAGTGCAATCTGCCTTCTGTTGAATGTAGAATTATTGCTGTTAAAAGCAGAAGACTGTCTAAGGGGGGAACTTTATTACAGCAATCTTAATATTGAAATTAACCCTTATTTTCTAGATAAGCTGAAAGAATCTGATTAAGGTTTCTAAATTATTTAATCATTGCTACATAGATTGGTTTTGTATTATAAATTGTCATCGGTCCAGATTTAGCTTTAGTTACTGATTGCACCGAAGCAGACTGGAAATCTTTGTAGTTTCAGGCATGTTTTAGCTGAGCTGGTGGAAGGGATCCTCTAAAGGATGTTAATTTACAGATGTCTGCTATGAAGTTCATCCTACCGAAATCTGCATTTTTTTTTGAGATTGTTTTTGATTCTGCTTTCCAGAGAAACTATTCTACATGAGCATGTCAGTGAAGGGAATAAAATGTCATTTCAAAATAAGTATAGGGACCCCATAGTTTAACTGTTTTAGCATAGCTTTGATGTGGTTAAATTTGTGCATGTATTTGATTCGAGTATCGATTTTTTTTTTAAATTTTTTYCCCCATATTTGTAATTCGTTTTTGAAACCTGTGAATACATTGCTGAAAAGCTCATTAACTTTCATTTTTTTTTGCAGTGGCTTGGCAGCTGGAGAAGATAATGGACAGAGAGGATATATGCTGACATTTGTTATTGCTTACCTTCGGGTAGGTCACCTTTTATTGGCCTACTGAAACTTCTGTTGATTACGATATTAAACCCTAAAGATGTGTTTTTCCAAGATACTTCTATGAATTCTAACTGCAAATTGCCTTGTTATATTCTCAAATTTCTCAATCTTCAGCTCCGTAGTGCTCGTTTATAACATTTCATTTATAAAAGCACCATAAAACATTGAAYTATGCACCTCTTAAGAATATAGAGTGTTGTTAGTAAATGCTAGGGTAAATGATTTTGAAGAATCACTGACAAGTTGCTAAATAAACAAGGTCAGTCTTAAAATATCCAAGAGCTGAAAGTAGTGGTTGAGGTCTCAGCTTTTGTCTGTCAAAATACTCATGTTTTTTCAGCTCTTTCTTTTAGGACATCTGCCTGTGGCCATGGTTTGAATCTGAATTTCAGGAGAAGTTAACATGAGTCTGACTGCAGTTGCCTTTAGGAGTTTAAGTTCCACTGTCTTTTTAGAGATTTATCAGAATATGCTGAACATCTTCAGTGTTAACGTTTTATTTTGCTCTTACAGTTTGGAGCAAATCATTAAGCCAGCCTTTGTTAGCAGGCTAAATGGGAAAAATGATTCTTGTCTGTGGTCATGACAACAAAATGCTGAAGTCATTTGTGTATTGGAAGTTACCRTAACGATTAACTGCTGTAACTGGGACAGCTGGATGTTTTTCTAGATGGACTGTTTCTGCTTCTTATAGAAATTATCAAATTGAAGAAGTACTAACTAGGTATCCTACACTGTAATCCCAGATGTAAGTGCTGAATGTTATTGATAAATTCCTTTCTCTGTTTATTAGGACCTGGGCCTGGATTACTATATAATAGGAGAATCATTTGAGACATCTGTTCCTTGGGATAGGTAAACTTGTACCTGATTTTACTCAAATTACTGCTAACTCATACATGAGGAAACTTAATTTTGTTTTATATATAGTAGAGGTTTGCTGATGGGCCTCTAAAATCTTGCACCTGCGTGTTCTTGCTAGAGTTCCTGGCAAATTACATCTTGGGGGTTGTGTGCACAATGTAGGCAGGTATTCGATAACATTTCTATATAAGGGCTAGCTTACTGWAACAAAATCAGGACTTTAAAATGCCCAGGCTGGAAATGGGGGGAGTGACTACAGTAAGATCTGTTTAAGCAGCTGCATGTGTGTGGAACTGGCAGTTTATTTCAAACAGAAAAGTTTCTAACAAAGCTCGTAAGTTTATGCAGATAGGTTTGACAGCTGCGTCGTCCCCCTGCTGTGATGCAGGGATAGGATTGCTTAAAAGGATGAATTATTACCAAGGTGAAGATCTTAAACTTCCCTGTTTAACTCATCTGTCAAGCTATAGTAGAAACACTTGACAACAGCACAACTTAACTTTTTCTGCTTAAACTTATGATAGAGTTTTTCAAAGCTGATCAGTTATCCTGTATGAGACTAGTTGGGGATGCTGGAACAAAATATTTAGCCTGGTATCTTCAACAAGTGGTTATGTTTTTCTTTTGTATTACTGCCATCAGTAGACCAAATGGTTTCAATCTGTATAACATGTCCAAGTCCAAATCAGATAGTTTGGATAGCATCTCAGATCTGTGTAGGAGAATGTACTGATTAAACAAGTGGTAATTGGAAAAATACAACGTTTGAAGTATTTTTGCACTTTGGATACACCTGGATCTATCCTGGGAGAAGAGGGGGAAGAGAAGTGGAGGAAGAGAAAAAATACATGGTTTATGACAAGCTTTAACAACTCACTGGCATATTAGAATTTCAAGCTTGCAAAGTAATGCACAGYGGGGAAGCTTTTCTCTTTACCTCGCAACACACCAAAGGTGTGGTCTGAGCACCAGGCCTTAGAGCTGACTTGTTAAAAGGAAGTTGTATGAAAGGACATCTTAAGACTCCATTTTATTGTTTTCTTTTATAGGGTTTTAGACCTCTGTAGGAATGTTAAAGAAAGGATAGTAAGAGAATGTAAAGAAAAAGGTGTTCAGTTTGCTCCTTTTTCCACCTGCAGGTAAGTTATTCACCAACTTAAATATTCATTATTCTGGAATCTTTTATTTGTTAAATAGCTAAGGAACTTTAGTACCAGCATAGAGGTCCTTAAATTTGCAATATAGTAGGTAAAATGAAACTATTAGTATAGCTGTTAATAATCTGACTTTCTCTAATCTGCTTGTGGATTACATAGCAAAGTAATCATTTCCAGAGATTAGTGGCACTTGATTAGTTTTGACATTTATTATTGCTTATAGACAACGAGTCAATTGGACACTGTTTTAAGAGCTTCATCTTGAATTGCTTAGCATTGATTCACTCAAAGTATGAGCAGAAAGGACACAAAGCTTGAAAAAGGAAGTTTCCTTTTTAATTTAAATAAATTACCTAATGAATTGCTTAGTGTTACGTAGTGGCTGGTTTACCTGGTAAAGCTCTGCTTGTAATGTACTTCTCTTTAACAGGGTGACGCAGACCTACGATGCAGGTGCATGTGTCTACTTCTATTTTGCCTTTAACTACAGGGGAATTAGTGATCCTATTCATGTCTATGAAGAAATAGAGGTAATGTATATACGAACAATGTTTAAGGTGGGATGTAGGGGAGAAGCAGGTGATGTATGTTTGCAGTGTGTATTTTAAACCCATTGGCCAAGCTAACTAAATGCAGGAGAGGGATATCAAGAGTATGTTCATCAGCAGCCAAAGGAAAACATGCACATTGATTGCAAAGATCAGATAAAACCTGGTCTAAGCCATGTTATGTTAAACTAACTGTAAGTTTCTTTGTTTGCCAAAACCTCTGGAGTATGTTGTTCCAGAGAAGCCCTTTTTGGACTTGTAAGCTTAGTAAGAATGCACAGGAGAGCCAGTGTTAACTGCTTTAGTTTGGTGAAAGGCATACGTATGTTGGGGGGAAGCTAATGCAAGTTCTAGGTCTTTAAGATTAGTGTATGCAACAGGATATGACTAAACTGTTTTCTGGTTCATATAGTCAGTAGCAGATAATTAACAGGACTATYGAGAAATACTCCTGGTAATGAGGATATGATTCTTTTCATGCTTTTTGCTTAATTTCTTGTTAACTTGGCCATTGGATGCAATGTTGTATCTACAGGTTCCAAACTTTTCTGCTGTTAAATTTGGGGCATTGGAGAACATGCTTCTAAAGCACTAACTGAAACTCCATCGTGCTGGAGTTAGCAGCTTGCTCACACTGATGCATGCCTTCTACTGCAGAACTCTGTGGAAGACTAAAAAAATCTGTAAATTCGCAGATACAGTCATACATTATTCTGGGAGGTGGAGGGGAGAGAAGGAAAGAAAGGATCTTTTTATCAAACTCACCACAAACAAGATGATGTCTGTGCTTAGGAAAGCTTTCTGTGTTACAGCTTTCTTGGGAAGCTGTCTATTTGTGATCAGAGCTAGTTGGGAAAGATTTTTTTTTAATACTTGTGAATGAGTATGATATCAAGTATTTTTTTTTTGTCAAATAAGCATCTTATCTTTCCAATTTAGAGGGCGGCTAGAGAAGAAATACTTGCTAATGGAGGAAGTCTGTCACATCACCATGGAGGTATAATTCCCAGTCTCTTTATCTGTCCTACAGTGCCAGATATTTGCCAGTGTATACAGTAGTCCTAATGGAATTTGAAAAATACTTCAAGGATATTAATTGAAATTACTTAGAAATCTTTTGACCTACTTTCAGGGAACCTCTCATGCTTTTGTCCAACTTTGTTAGCCCTAGTTCCGTGGCACGTGGTTAAAAAGTATTTGCATAAAAGAGCTAGTGACTTTCAACTAGACTATGCTGTAGGCTGCTGTTTGTTGCACAGCTGATGTGAGCATTGGCTCACATATCTGTTTTGCTACCTGCTAACTTCTGATTTATTTCTTTACTTGTAGTTTGGAAATGATTTGTCATGATTTACTGATCTCTTCACAAGTTATACTGTGCTCTGATAAAAATAAGCTCATGCCTGAAGTGTTACCCTAATRTCTTACATATGCTTTTTTCCACACTGCCTAGTTAAACTTGATTACATATGTCCTGTATCCTGCTGAAAACTCAGATATCTTGAATACTTGGTCTGGCTTCAGCATGATTGTACAACTAACTTGTAAATTGTTAAGCTTGCAATGTGTTTCTCTTCTCTCTATTCTTTTGGGGCATTGCCTGGTCACAGTTAAGAGCAAAAAGAAAAAAGCCTAATATTTTAAAATTAATTTAATTTTGAAATTTTGCATGGGGAACAGCTGGAGAGCAGAATGACTGTTTTGTAACATATTGGTGACTTTCTGGACTTGGAGAACATCCAAAATTCAAGATTTATAGCTAGACCTGTTCTTCTATGTACAACTTTTAATACAAGCTTTAAGGGTTCTTGCCACAGAAACACCAAAATAGGAAGGGATTGGATGACTCTGGCTCTGTTAACATGTAGGGGAAAAAGTATTGGTATTTTATGTGCCTTTATTGTCCACTGATGGAATTTTTTTAGTGTGGTATTATAGTGGACTGGTCAGTTCTTGCSCATGGAGTGGTGGAATTTCCCCCTCGGTCTGCGCTGGTGTTCTCCCCTGCTGTGGCACCTGTATTTTACTGTGACTAGTGTTTCATCCAGTAACTTGCATGCAGCTGTAGCTTGTCATATGATTAGATGTATTTGTGTGCACCATGTAAAACCTTGGGCATGTGTACAGCATGTGTTGGGCAAGAAAAGAAATTACTTGTTCCTGCACCCCTGAACTTGTGACTCAACAGATATAGGGAAACTTGCTCGCAATTAAACTCCAACTGCATTATCTGTCCTGATAAATATTTTCTGCTTTAAGTTTATTTTGTCTGCCATGGCACTTTGTACAATATGTAAGATCCATTTTTCTGTGTTTAGTAGTAGATTTGCTGCTGAGAATTAGTCTAAAGGTAGTGCTTTTATTTACTGACCTTCAGGCCTTGTCACACTTAGCGCTGCTAACACTAGTGTATTGTGTAGGGTAAAGGAAAATACTGTTGCAATTTCTTCTAGTATTTGTCTTGTAATTGTGATTAATAACTGTTGTTTTCACTATCTGGAAACAGACAGACTGGTTTGTCTGCCTACAATCATGCTGTGATAAATGGAGCTATTTTAACTCTGGTTTTGTGTATCAAAGAAAACAGATGTAGTCTGGGACTTGAGGCTATAGAAAATGCAAAGCCTGCTTAATTCAATCTTCATATACTTCCTGAGTGAAGACATGGTCATCTATGTCAGCTTTGGATATCTGTTAAGATCCGGTTTAAATCTGGAGAAATACTAATTTTGAGTAAACACATACCTCCTACAAGGAGAACTAAAACTGTGATAAAGTTAAAACTTTGTAAAGGTTAAATTCAGAGATTTTAATTTGGATTCTGTTTTATRTTGTCCCCAAGTCTTGCGCCAGTGGAAAGTGCTGTAACTTTCTGGCAATACTCAGGAAAAAGTTAGTAGTGTCAAGAGATTTTCCACACACATGGGAACACTTCCGAAATTTAAAACTTAAAGTAGCATTTTGAAAACCAAGCCTTTCCCTTTGTTAATGTATTATACCTGACTGTCCTGCAATATGTAATATCATACATTGCTCTATCTTCCTTTTTTGAAGAAGAAGAAGGTTATGCTAGCAAAGAAAAGTATATGAATACCAGCCTCTTACAGCAAGAGAATCTCATACAGGCAAGAGGTCGCAACAAGGCTAGAAGTGTGCATTTGTGTAACGGGGCTATCCTTTCAACATGGCACTGACTTTTATTTTGGTGTGTAGCGTCTGAGATTTTTATAAGGCCGGATATGATTTTTCTGACACGATAATTTAAATGACTTTTTGTTCTTTTAATCATATTGCTTTTTCCTTCCAGATTCTATTTCTCACTCATGACTTAAGAGCATTAATTAAATCCATATATCTGAAACATGTCAGGAGTGATTTTTCTACTTTAGGTTTATCAGCCTACATTTAAGGGCCTGTTTCTAGATTATGTAACAAACAGGATTTTACTTAGGAAGACTCTTGGGCATGGTAAAGTTGCCATTGTCTTGTAGTCTGCTCACAGGTACCTCTTATCAGAAAAGCAACTTTGGAAATRACAGCTTTAAAGATACCAACTTAAGTAAATAAAATTCTTATAATGGCAGACCCTAAAGCAACCGATATGAAATGTTGCCTTATTCTTAAATTCCTGTTTTAAAACAGACATTTTGTTGCATACATAAAATAGCACATGCTGAGGAAGTATCACTAGGAAAGACTGATGTATAAACAGAACTATTCCTCTTTGAAGTTCAGCATCATAATGTTGTATTTTCCATGGCTGGATTTGGGTCAGATCCTTTTGCATTGTCAATTCTGTAGCTGTGTAAAATGAGCTAAAGAACAATTTAAAATGAATGACAAATTGTTTCCTTTGAAGAAATGTTCTAGGAAATGGTTACTTAAGGAAACAATTATTTGACCTTTTGATTCGAGCAAGAACATTCATTTACCTAGTTAATACAACTGTTTTTCTCTTCTTGGAGAGACCGACAAGGATAACTGTTAGTGCAGGCTGAGCTCCACAGGTAAAATATCAATTTCCTGGCAGTTTATATATAAAAAATAAAAGCATGTTTGGTACTGCAGTTTTTCTGTATTGTGAAGGGGCCATGGCTTAGTTGTACACTGCAGTAATTAACTGCAGCTTTATTTTCTCAGCTGTAAAATAACCCTCACAAATTGCAAAATCTGGAATTATAAAATTCCCTTTAGGGAAGGCAGTTGGACACTTTCTTTTTGTGCATAGAAAAATTATCCTTTTACTTTCGCAAGTTTAACACTGGAGGTGGATCTTGTTTGGTCTGTAAACTGCACCCTGCTCTGTTGATGAGAATGAGGCATTTAAACTGTGACTCTTCTGAGATGGACATCAAGAAACCTTGTGATGTGAAATCACTTGAATCACTYACACCGGATTTGCTTCCTTGGCCTATTGAAAGCCTTGTCAGGATTGTCATCTTCAATATCTCTTCCTTAGCAAATGCAGAGTATTTTTTGATTCATCAACACCGAATKTGAGAGCAATTATTTGATGGCAAGTACAAACCTGCCAGATGTTGGACAGTGATCGGGCATGTTARTTATGTAGCAGACAAGGGCTCAGATATACTGGTCCCATCTCACTGCAGTATTAGATTAATTAATGTGCTGACCTTTCCCAGTGAATTGCAGAGCTCTCTGGAAAAGTAATAACCTGCTAAGCAATTTCCAGGAGTGGAAAGATGTTCCCCATAGAGAACCAACCTCAAGAAGAGCTTGCAGCAGCCACAAGAGCCCCATCCTTCTTGAGACCCGTCCCAAGCTGCCATCCCTTCTTCCTCTTGCAGAACTGTTCTGCAGCAACTGCCTCTAAGTTGGAAGGACCAGAGCAGAGGAAATCCAGGGCCATACGCAGGGCCACTAGAGCCCATTTCAGCTGAGACACACGCTTACAAACCTGTTCTGTGTGGGTAGTGTTATTTCTGGGTCCTATAGTTCAGTGCCACTTAAACTTCCCTTGTAAGCCTGTTTTCTTTCCTTTCCTGAAGGAAGACAACTGAATGCTAAGCAGCCAGATCTTGGGGCCACCCAGTTGCATTCTCAGAGATGAGCAAGCATGGCCTTGTTGAGCCAGAGCTTTCCTGTTCTAGCTGCTTTTGGGGGCAGCAAGCAGCCTGTCCACCATGCTCTGACACTTGGTGTCTGTGGCAAAGACTGTAATGTCAGCGGCTGCAGAGGGTAGATTGCACTGGAAAAGAATGGTATGTGGTTGCATTTTACCAGACTCCGTCATCTGGAGTTATCTTTTGTTCATGGCAATGTCTTATTGCTGTGGAATTTTCCTTTCTTTGTAATTGGGTTACTGTACTGAGGAGGAACAGAATACMCTGAAGCTAACCTGAAGGGAAACAAACATAAAGACTGCTTCTCTATATGGTGTTCTCATCTGCACTTAGCCTTTCATTTTTCTGTGGAATCCGATGGACCGGCTTAGCAGTCAGGACAGGATTGCCTCAAGGCTTTAACCCTGTGATATCAAACCTTGCAGGGGCTGACACATCCACACGCATCTCATGGGTGTGAACAGCAGGAGGTTGGGGCTCAGCCTGCTGTTATCTGGGGGTTAAAATCTCTCCATTCAACGTGTCTGTGAAGGACCACTGCTCTCTGGAGTAGAGCTTTTCTCTTTCCAGTTCGCTAACCAAATGTATGTTAGATTTATTATTGTGAAAGTATAAACCATAGAAAATTTGACAAGATAGATGTGTAAATTATCACTTTGACAGAACTAATGATGCACTCCGAGCCCCTTCTGTTTCGTGGCCCTCGGTGAGGGGCTCCATTACAGGCGCAGCGGCGGCCGGTGCTGCGGAGCCCCGCGCGGGATCRGCGCCACCGGAGGGGCCCCGCTGGGCTTCTAATGGGCTCCCCCTTGTTGGAGCAGTTGTTTGCAGGCTTTTCAGGACGATTGCATCCATAACCACGGGACGCGTTCGCTGAAAGTGTATTACAGATAACGGTGGAGAGTGGTAATGACTGTTCTTCKGCTTTTTGTGCCAGAGGCGGAGTGTCACTGACTTGAGGTGATGGTCAAGCCACATCCATTTTTTTTGTCCTTTAAACCATCCCCACATAAAACTCAACASGATCACCTTGCTCAGATAACAAAGCTGCAGTGCTGGTGCACTTACAGATGGMGATTGTTTGGGGCTGGGTTCTGAAATACAGCATTAGCCCCTACCCCGGGGCAAATGCTCTTGTCCGTCAGTTATGATCTTAACTCGTGACACGCRTGCTGGTAATGGTTATTTCTTACCAAACTGCACATTTCATTCTTTCTCACGTTTGCTTTTTCAGTTGGCATTGTGACTAGCTCATATTCCTTAAGGTATAAACAAATATGCTCTGTTCTCCAGAGGTGTCCCTGTAATTTATTATTCTGATGACAGCTTGATGGTTACCCAGAGAGCAGGATACAAAAGATGGCTTGAATTTAGCTTCAGATACTCTTAAAGCATCTGCCTCTCAAGCCTTTACTRTATCACATCATACTGATAAATGGACTGTGTTTTAGGCTGACAAGCTAAATGCTACACTGTGTTTAATGAAAAAATGCCCTCTGTTTTTGAATGATCTGTTAAATCGGAGCTGATGGCTTGGTTAATATATGGATGCTTGGCCATGTAACAGGACTATTGTGAGACTTTTAGTGTTTAAGCTGTGCTTTCTGTACGGTATGTTGTGAATATCAATTTTAACATGGAAACTAAGTTCCTATGTAAAATAGGCTGTGCAGGCGTCAGTCTGTGTAGAAATTTTGAATGAAACAAGATGTTTTATTGATTGAAAGCCAGGTTTTGTCTTGTCTTTAGAAAGCAATTTTTACTTATTTAAGCTGTTTCTGGCAGTAAGTTCTGATTCTGCTTACTGGAAGGAATGAAGCAGTATGGGATTCTAGCTTTAATAATTTTCAGCTTCCTCCTTAAAATGAGTTTGGCTTTTTAAAACTTATAATTACTTTTTTTCAGTCTCAGTGTTTTTAATAGAACATTTGATCTCAGCCTAAGCTTCATCTAAATTTCATAGTTTCTAAAGAAAGTAGGCAGTGTGGAACACAGGCTTCCTCTGGGAGTATGCTGAGCTTAATGAGCTTGATAGTCTGGTGGGCTCAATAAATCAAACAAAGCAAAACATTTCTCATTTTTGAATAAAAGCATTTATCATGCAGTGTTTATTCATTCATGGTCACAAGATTGATTGGCTCCTAGAATCCTGCCATATATTGAAATGCTTTGTTTTTGTTTTTCCAGTAGGCAAATTGCGGAAGCGCTGGATGAAGGAGAGCATCTCCGATGTTGGCTTGGGAATGCTGAGATCTGTTAAAGAATATGTGGACCCCAATAACATCTTTGGAAACAAAAACCTTTTATAAAGCCCCATGCTGTATGATATACTAAAACTTAAAAATTGCCGTTGAAATTCTTGAAATTCCTTCATTTTCATTGTATTGATATCCCAGTAATCAAATATAACATAGACTAAGCTTTAAGACTACAATATTAATTACTTTGTCTTTTCCCTTCCACTAAAGTGGAATGAATGCTTTCATTCACTGTTAACGTTTATGGATTTTTACTTACTGTGCTCTTAAATTCTCGAGCAACCCACTGGGCACATCAAAGTATATTGCCAACCAGGAAGTGCAAATTTGGTTTTCCAGGTTTGGTTGGGCAGCACAGCTGAAAGTATCTTCCATGCTGGATGCAGCCAGCTGTTTGTTGCTAAAGCATCCCCTGCAAGGAGAACAAAGACTGACAACAGTGTTGTCTGCAGAAGCAGCTGCTCAACCCAGCCGCTTGTCAAAGGAAATGTGCTAGGAGAGATGAGATTACACCAAGGAGTGCTTGTGCTGAAGAATCAAGTATGTCGGAGACTTTAACCAGCAGCCCTTTAAAGCACAAATGCAGGCTTTGATCAAAAGGGACAACTGTTAAGTCGAGCTCCCCCCGTAGCTCTGCTGAGAATCTTAAAATTAGTGTGTTCTGAGTTGTATTTGCATTGCTGGGATAATCTGCTTAAATTAATCCTAGGTAAGTCACTAAGTTTTGTACAATGAACGTTTCTCACTGTATGTTGAAAACAGATTTGTAACATAAAACTTTGCCTTCATCTGTACTACCGTCCTTGTGTGTATGGTTTTGCTCCTGTTTTGTTTTGCAGATATGCAAAATACCCTTTTTTTCAGAGAGAGAAAAAAAAAGGTCTAGTTATTCAAATGAAAGTGTTTGCCCAACACTGTCTTTTAAAACAGTCTCAACAGTTTTGCTAAGCTTAAGTGGACAACATACTGTCATCCTAAAAGTGAAGTTTTCCATTTTCATTTTGTACAGTTTCCTATGACCTTTATGAATTGTTTACTTCACCAGTAGCCACAAATGTAATTGTCCATTTAGCTTTAGGAAAATTTTTCTTGAGTACAGTATGAGTAAACATTTTTACATTGAAACTTGAATCTTAATCAGTTAATAAACTAGAGGTATTTGTCAATACTCATGATCCATTTTTAAGGTGGGTTCTTTTCTTAAAGCAAATTATCCAACTTTTTGATAAAGTATATGATCACATAGGATAGAAACAAAATCCTTTGAGGATACTGTCTCTAGCCAACTGCTTCACTGCTCTGTAGTGACAGTTTGGGCACCTTTTGTATTGGTAGTGCCCTTAACAAGGAGAAAAAGATAAAATTGCAATTCTGTTTTTAAACTATTTTAGGATACTGTCTAATTAGTTCTCAGTTTTGGTAATATGCCATAAAAAGTATAATACACATGCTTGAAAAATAGTGCATATCAAACAAACTGTTTAAACTTCAAGTATGTAATTAAAATCATCTAAAAATCATGGACAGTCAAAACATCACTTTAAAATGCATGCAGTTAAGATACCAAATCAAAGCCTTTTATGATCCACAGGTCATAAACTAGGATGTTAATGTGGTATTTGTCATACAGCTAGATTTATTTCTAATGGTCTTTGTTTCATAACATTTCAATATAAAAAATTCTTGTCTTCTGCATTTTTGTTAATCTTTTGGCCCACAGAGCTCGTATTTCAGCAGCACCCAAAACAATAGGTATCTGTAGTCCGTTTTAGAAAATCAACTTCTGGCACTGTGGTTAAGTGTTCCTTATTTGATATGTGCACAGCGGCTCTCAGCAAGGCGGACCTGTACACGTTTCTGCAGGAGATGTCCTCATTTTGCATGCCGCACCCCGGTGATAACTTGGCCACAGCTGGACACTTGCTGCTGACCAGTGTCACTGTGAAATAGAGACCTTTCTAGGAGCTGGTAAATATGAAGGGTATGTTTATTTTTATGTGCCTCAGTGAAAGCATGGTATGCTAACATGAATTATCAGTTTTGAAAGAAGTTGTGTAGATAACCAGAAGCCTTTGTGCAGAATGACAGCACAAACAGAACTTTAAAAAAAAAAAAAAAAAAAGGTGGTATAGTTCAGTAATATACTTGTCTCTTAAGACATTAACTTTTTGACTTAAAAGTACTACATAGTAGTGCTTAAAAGTACTACATAAAGTGCAACTTCCTAACTCTTTTACTTCCTAACTATGATTTCCCCAGCCTTTTCTTATTGAAGTTACACAGCCAAAACCTCCTTATGTCCTTTATTTTCAATCTCTAAATAGCCAGTGGCTTCGAATATTATTTAAAATGCAGTAAAAAATTTCATTGCACATCAGTTGGTCTATAGGAAAGTGAAGTAACAGCTTGAGTCCTACAGCTACAACACAGGATAGCCCCAGGGAGAGGATTAACTGCAAATGTAATGGATATCTCTTTCTAATAGCTGCCCTACAGCTGTCTTCCTAAATATTTTTCTACCATATGAACTGTTTGGAGCTTAGTGAAATCCCACAGTTGAAATGCATATTTCATTGGCTGCTTTTAATTCTTTAATGAGAAGACAGAAATATGTAACAAGTACAGGAGACCTAGATATTAAACCAGACCTAGGCACAAATCATTACCCCTTTAAAAGAAATCTTCCCTCTCCTAGCAGTGAATTAAGTCTTCCACCATGCTCTTCCTTCTGTTTTCCTTACAGAGGTTGCTCTTCCCATAACTGCAGCCTGTTCACAGATGGAGTTTGTTCCATGTGGATCAAAAGTGTATCCTAGCAAAGCATTTTACCTTTTTAATTTGATTGACTGCTTTGGCCATGTGTGAGAGAATTTTGTTTAAACTTGCCATAACTTGCAATTACAGAGCTGCTGCTGTTCCCTGCTTTGAAGAAAGGTACGGAGTGAATATGCTTGACTGCTAAGTGTATTTACACTGGAGAGAGAGGGACACTTCTATAAAAGTTGAGGGAAATGTCATCAAAGAACATATTAAATTAAGAGAGAAGGGATCTTAAAGAAAACCATGCCTCTGACTTTAATACTGTGGTTATTACTACTTACAGTATATTGGTTATATTAGAGATGTCATCTTTGCCTTACAGCTGGGAACAGAGGCCAGGCCAAATAGTTCTTCCATAGCCATGTAAGTTAATTGAAACCAGCCACAGAGGCAGGAATGTGAGCACTGAAATCCAGAAAATATGATCTGTTTCTCAGTCTTGAAAAATGTGTGCTTATCGAGGCTTCTACTAGTAAAGCCCAACAATGTTTGTCATTCTAGTGTGAGAGTAACTGTAAACCAGTTTTAATGTTAAAAGATTACCAAACCTTATGTCATTAACAATAAAAAAAAATGGGCCTAAACCATCATGTGTTTTTGTGCTGAAACTGAAAAATGTGTTCCCCTAATTAGTCACACTGGTTCATCTTAATTTGGTGCATCTAAGGAAAACCACTAGGAAGGCTTTGGCATTCAGAGAGAGAAAGGAGAATGAATTTGAAAATGCTTACGAATAGAACATTTATTTTTGCATTCTATTTAAGGCAAAATGGAAATATTAAAAATACTCTATTTTCATTGAAGGAAATGCAAAACCATACTTGACCTCTGGATTATATGGATTCATTGGCCAGTTCAGAGGCTTCTCTTCTCCTGTTTGGGCAGCAAGAGCCACTTTCTACTGCTCATGGAGAGCTCTCTGTCAGACACAGAAGAGCATCTTATCTTAATTAGCTTTCCCTTGTTCAAAACCTGTTGTATTAAGTTATTGCAGCACCTCTGACTTACACATGGAACAGCAGAAGACTTCTTGATAGGAATTATTTCTTAAAGCGCTGTAAATCTCTATTTGAAAGTTTTGTGTGTGCAAATATGCACATTTGAGCAGAAGCATATTTCAACTCTCTGTCATTGCTATAAAGTTTTTTATTATGTCCTTTAAGCTAAAATGACTGAAATTGCATCCTGCTGAAAGGCCTGTTGAATTGTCTTATGCTAATGCAGTTTCATTAATGCATGTCATTTGAAAACTCTAAAAGGCAGTGTAGGCAGGGGAAGGGAGCTGTAAAGATATGCTTTAATTTGTACAATTATAAATGACAACATTGCACAGTTATCCAAAGCCTGTATGTAATTTTTAGGAAAAATTTCCTAAATTTCCCTCCTTCACAGGAAGGAGAAAATTACATGATATTTAGGCATTGTATTGGTATGTTTTTTCTGATTAACAACGTAAATGTGGTGGTTTTACTTGTTTTTAGATCTTGMTGCTCTCTATAGGAAGGAGATCTTGGGTGATATGTAATATTACTCTCAGGATGAAAACCAGGTCGTATTAATCTCATTGAGAATCTTTTAAGAAAATCCTGCATTTTATAAAAACTTAAATCTGAATTAGCAGCTGCATAGATACAGTYGCTTGGTTTTAGACCCCAAACTGACTCTGAATTCTACATGGCTTTTGAACAAAAATTGATGTCTTTCTCTAGGTTATGGAGACTGTACTTGGCAGGGCAGTGCTTTGTTCRTGTCAGCTTTGAGGTTTCTTGTGGTGCTCAAGTGCAGAGCTGGTCAAAGCTCTTTTTCAAAAATATTTGGATTACTGTCTTTGAAAAATATCAACACTGTCGGTTTGAAATTTAAAGCTTACTGTTTCCAAAAGATGAGAAATTCATTTTAAATCTTACTGTTACTTGCAGTATTTACCAATACAAGTTGCAATAATATGTACCTCTACTGAAATGCTGTGAAATATTTCATTTATGAAGTTGTTTTTGCACTTTTGAAAAACAAAACTTTTTTTTTTATGGGAAACTTTATGAATGTTTCATTTTGATTCAGAATAAACCTAAATTTCTTTCAGTTGACTGTTCAGGAACTCCAGTAAAATGATCCTCTTTGGGGAGTATCCAGTCCATTCCTAYATTCCTACCTTCATGATAAAAGCATGGGGAAATAACAGCTTTGGAATYACTATATTTGTTGTAGAGCTGTAAAGTATATCACAGCAGCCGCCTTTCCAWGAAATGGGAGTGTGGATCAGAGAAGTGAAACTGTATGTGTACAACGTGATGGACACAATCTGATGATGTGACTGTAACTCTGTAAAGTTTAAGCTTCTAGAACTTCAAATCAGAAATCAGAAAAGTGATAAATGTTAGTCTTTGTTTAAAATTCATTTAAAATTAAACTATATTTTCTAATGAAGAATGTCAAATGACTTTGTTTTTTACAACTGTGCAGTTCAATATCACGTATCTTACTGTGGYTGGCTTCCCAAAGTGCTGCTGCAAAATAAAATATTAAATGGGTGCAACCAAAGATAGGGCTTTGAGTAAAGGTGCTCTCATTTCAGATTACTGGAAGAGCTTGGATCCATTCCCATGGCACTTTGAGGACAGGGATATCTGGTGCTGCCATCACACCAGTCAGCGCTTGTTGAACAATATAAATATTCAGAACAGTTTGAAGACAAGGAATAGCATTATAATGTACTCCAAGGAAGTCCAGCACTGAATGCTGAAAACACTGTAAACACTTTAATTTGGGTAGATGGATGCATGAACAGGACACAGGTACATGTAACTATTGATAAATTGGTATTGATGTTGGTAAGGGGTTGAATAGCAGTCTTGAATTGCCCAGGATAAGGTAACGATGGAGCCTGAGGAGCCGGGAGTAGGTACAAATAGAGCAGTTGACCTTTATTCCTCTCGCCCGGTGGCAGCAGCCATCAGTATTTCCTGTTGCACTCTATTACTGCTGCCGCGCAGGAAATCCCAGCTGCCCGGAGGCAAGGGTTAAAAGCTGCTCTGAAATGTGAAGTGACACATAGACTTGCCTAGAAAATACGGAGCAGCTGGATAAATACGTGTAGAGATGGGGCAGTAAAAGCCAGTCATTAAAAAAAGTAAATCTGACTAATGTTAGGAAGCAAATGTAAGAAAGTCCTGAGTGAGGAGAAAGCTGCATGAAAATTGAGGCTTTATAATTTTTTTTTTTGTTTGTTTGTTTGTTTTGCTAGCCTAGGGCATTACCCATTTGAATGCTCTACGGAGTTAGAGTACAGAGGCCAGAGATGGAAAGATTTGGGTTTTAGCCTATTTTTAAATGGAAAAAAAAGCATGTGCAGTCTCTTATTTTATATATTTTTACTTCTTTATTTTTATTTACAGCGTTTTCTCCACCAAAACTTTATAGAGCTTTGTGGGTGCTTCCAGCCAAACTTGGATAGTTGCATGTCTCAAGTATATTAAGTTCTCACAGGMTATGGTGGAAAATGGACAGCCATGTAGTTAAGCAACCCTAATGTGTCCCGGTGAGTAGCAGAAATGTTAGTACAGCCCTTATTAGATAGTGGACAACCCAGGTGGTAAAAATGATTTCTCTGTGGGAGAACCTGATTGGTATTTGCTCCACTTCAGAGGAATCAGTATATTCTGTTATGTGGTTCTCCAGTTACTAGAAGCAGCTTCTCTTGCAGCTTTAAAATATTTTAGTGAATGGGTCCACCACAAGGCAAAACCACTGCAAACTTTTGAGTACTGCTGCTCCTGAAAGTACAGGACAACACTTCCAGTTAGTGTTTTTGGTATAATATTTCCTTAATAAATTAAGGTCTTGCCTTTATTCATGCTTATCACTGCCATGACCTCCTGGGTTGTGCTCGGTGCTATTTTACAGTCTGTGTTTTGGCACAGGGACGTGTCAGAACAGACTTGGCTTCCTTGGGATTTTTCTGGGAYTCAGGTTAGTGTCTCGAGTGGAGCTTGGGTGGTAGGTTCTCCTTCACAGGGGAGTTTCCTGTAAAGTGTAGCATTAATGAAGGAGCTGAGAACCCACAAAAAGGGTTTTGGGGAGAAGAGGGAAGAGAAAAGGTGCTAGTAGGAGCCATCAGTGAGCCAGGTCTGCTGGTTTGTTCCAGCCTCTTTGTGAAGGAAGCGTTTTCTCAATGAGGAGTTGTCCTACAGTGGTGTTACCAGCGTGTGGTTAAGGAACCAGGATTTATGGTTTTAGAGAAGATGAGTGACTGCTGTACAAAAGGTTTTGAGAAAGGTTTTCGGGAAGAGTTTTGGCATGGCCATGAGGTTAGAACCGCAACCTGCTGTGCGGCCTGTGGCCTTTCCACCTGCAAAGCTTCAGCAAGCGGCACGGCCTGTCAGCGCMCGCAATAAAAGCTGCTTTGTGCAACGTTGCCTGTCTGTTGTCTGACTTAGCGCCCATGAAATAGTGACCAGGAAGCACAGAGAATTACTAACTGGGAAACCAGAGCAAGGCCAGCGCAAGCCACGTCTCGCTACTTTGGCTAAATCACCCTGAAATGAACATCTGGCAGCAACAGCCGAGCAGAAGGAACTTGGTTACTATAGAGAAACAATAAATTTTAGGATGGCAACAAATCTGCTGCCTTAGTTAAAATTTAGTACTTTTTTTAAGATTGATGAGAGGAAATCTCTGTCTCTTCATTTGTCGAACTGTATGCAACTCTGTGGACATGAAGGAAACATTATCTCCTTTTATAAGTCTCCCCTTAGTCTCTGTGCTTTAGTCTTCAGCCTTCAGGTGTTTACTACCAAGCATTTGCAGGCTGGCCCTCTAACCCTCCTAGTGAATGCTAGGTGCTTCCATCCCATCATAAGTTTCAGTGTGACTTAAGTTACTAAAGCCAAAATTATCCTTGTGGCTGTTGTTACAGAAAGGATAGCCTCAGTGTGATCCATTGCTTAAATAATAATAATAATAATAATAATATAATAATAATAATAATAATAATAATAATGTAATTTTTTTAAAAAAAAAGTAGAAGCAAGAGTTTGGGTCTGGGCTTTTTCTGCTTTGCTTAGGGCCAACCAAGTGCCTGATATGCTGCAGGTGCAGAGCAGCCACTGCCAGCCAAGTTACAACACCTGTGCCTAGCTGCTAATGAAGGGTGTGTCTGCAATTAGCAACACCTGCAGCATTAACAGTTAACACTTAAACTAATGGCAAGCTGCCCTAAGGGTAAGTGGGCTGAGGAATGAAGGGTCCTGTGTTGTGGAGGTGCTATGCTTGTGCTCATCAGGCCCCTGTGCACAGCCTGCGTGTGGTGCCAATGTCTGACATCCTGAAGCGTAAATATGAGCTCTGCGCTTTCTGCAGGCCCCAGGGACAGTGGTTGCCCACAGCTTGTGTGTGAACTTGCCAACAACCAAAATGACTGTGCCTTGATGGCCTGTTGCAATGCCTGGGGAGTCGCACAGCAACTTTGTGGGTGTTTTGAGCCTCCTTCAGCCAGAGGCCACAGCTTGTGCTCCGGTGTTTTCTTCTGAGCACGGTGAGTTGCATTTCCCAGCRTCTCTCCTTTGGTTCCTGGTGCATGGAGGTTGTCCAGCTGCGGGCATCCTGCTCCTTACAGGGTTGCTGGCCCTGCCCAAGCCAACCTCCACCTGAGGAGAAGGGGCAGGAGGCTGCACGTCTGCACACCTGGGACCCGTTGGGCTGCCTGCCCACAGGTGCGAGCGCCTTGAAAGCCGGGAGCGAYGCCCGGGCTGCTCCCGTCATGGAGGATCTGCCGGAGAGCAGCACCGCGTGGAGAACGCCTGYGCTGAGGTGAGACCGCGTGCTCGTGGTGTCCCTGCTCGCTCCTGTGCGGTTCCTGGGCGCGAAGGTAGCGTTTTGGGGTAGGAGCAGTTGGGAACAGTGTGGGGCAATYCATGGCGGGCCGAGCAGGGCTGAGCGGCCATTTCCTGAGGGACCAGGAGGGCGCCCTGAGGCGGTGGCACCGCGGCACGTTCAGCTCTGCTGGCAGCAGTGCTGGCAGGGAAGGGCTTGGGGCAGGGTCAGGAATGAGGACGGATGTGGGCATGAGTTGTGTGCCTTTTTGTAAGAAGCAACAGGAGATCTGGTATGCTGATCTCTTGGATAACGTTTGCTGTTTCTGTTGGTGTTGCAGAGTTGTGTTTCTTTTTGTAAGAAGCAAGGGGAGATCTGTTACACTGATTTCTTGGATAACACCTGCTGTTTCTGTTGGTGTTGCAAAACCTTATATGCTTTTCCTAAAGAAAAAGCGCTGAAAGAGTTAATAAAGTGGAGTTGGGAAAGTTCATGGGAAAAGCAGTGCTSGTTAGTTGGCATGCAACAGCATCATTTGTATAAAGCTGCTAATGTCTTCAAGAGGAAGAAACAGGTGTGTTGTTTTGCTCCCAGATTTTTCTTTGATCCTGTTGAATGAGCAGTTCCTCTGCTGCAAAGCAAGGATGGTGCTCACCATGTGTCTTCGTGCTCTAAAATGGCTTGGTGATATTTTGGCTTCTGCCTTTGATGCCTTTCTTCCAAATTTTGCTTGCTGTATCGATGTGTGTAATGCTCTTCAAAATGGAGGCTCGGGTTCTACTGCTGCTGGGTTGTGCTGCTGCTATGTGTCATTGGTGTTTTATATACTTGTGTTTTTCAAACCACTGCTTTTCTTCCCTTTTCATTAACTCTAAAACATGTGACTATAAAATGTTGATACAGACATTCAYATCTCAGTTATGAAGAGCTGTACAATTTTAGTC